TTAATGCCATGGAAACTATCTGATAAATGCATAAGAAGCTCAATAAATTTCATAATATTGAGGTAGCAAAGCAATTGGTATTGTTGACAGAGAACTTCTGTTCTGAGCACCTCTTTTAAGAAGGAAAAATTGCCTAAAATAAAAATTATAGTTTGAGCTGAGGCCCGTTTTCAATAAAAATAAACCTGGAAGTAACTACACTGCATTGGAATACTGGAAAATGTGGGAGAATGGCAGGAAACAAGAGGTGCCTCTTGAAATGATAAAAATGGGATACATCACTTTAATATTTAACTGCCTTTCTTTGATATGGTCTGCTTTACCTTATTATGCATTTTTAATGAGAATAGGAGGATGAGAAGAATACTGTGAATCACATGATAGTTTTCTGCCCAATTCTGTTCAACGTTTATTTGTAAGCCATATGATCTTTGCAGTGTCCTGCATGCACGTCTTCATACTCTGGACATCCCCCTAACATGACAGATACTGCCAGAAACAGGAATGGACTTGCTCTGCTTTTACAGGTAATAATGAGATTGGTCTGTTTCCACGTGCTCAGTATTACAACGTGTAATACTGTTGTATTCCTACCTGCCTTCCTCCAAAGACTTGTAAGTTAAGAGCATCTACAGAAAATGAAAGTAAAAGCACCTTTGGTAAGTACCATCCCTTTCCAATGCACACACAACACACACCACCACTTCCGCTGCGGAAGCGCGCTTTGAGGCATGCCACAAACTCAGTTAACAAACTCTGTGTGGGTGTGCCTAAGGCACACAGGTGGATGTTGTCATGCCAAGATAAGGGCCCCTCACCAGGCCTGCTACAAACCAGTTACCTCAGGGACCTGCCAACCCTGCTGATACCAACAGCCTCATTTCCTCATTGCAGCATTTCAATACCTAAAGGGAGCCTACAGACAAGAGAGGAATCAACTCTTTGAAAGGGTTGATAACTGCAGGACAAGGGGAAATGGTTTCAAGTTGAGGGAGGGAAGATTGAGGTTGGATGTGAGGGGGAAGTTCTTTACAGAGAGAGTGGTGAGGTGCTGGAACAGCTGCCCAGAGAGGTTGTGGATGCCCCGTTCCTGGAGGTGTTCAAGGCCAGGTTGGATGGGGCCCTGGGCAGCCTGGGCTGGCATTAAATGGGGAGGTTGGTGGCCCTGCATGTGGCAGGGGGTTGGAGATTCATCATCCTTGAGGTCCCTTCCAACCCTGGCCATTCTGTGATTCTGTGAAGAGCCTCTTTAAAAGTTAAGGCAAAATGAAAAGCCCTGTAACACAGGGCAGGACACATCAGACAAGAGCATGCAGGAACCTCAGTGCATGTGAGATTTAAACCTTTTTACGAGTACATTATATATATATAAACTGCAGGCCAACTGTACCACAGCTCCTGTTTGTGATTCTTGTACCATTTCACTTGAAACAAAGGAGGACAGACTGCTTTTGAAACATTACATTCAACATTAGTCATATTATAAAACAACTCCAAATTATCACAGAATGTCCTGGGTTGCACAGGAGCACAATGCTCATCCAGTTTCAACCCCCTGCTATGTGCAGGTCACCAACCAGTAGACCAGGCTGCCCAGAGCCACATCCAGCCTGGCCTTGAATGCCTGCAGGGATGGGGCATCCACAGCCTCCTTGGGCAACTTGTTCCAGTGCCTCACCACCCTCTGTATGAAAACCTCCTAACATCCAACCTAAACCTCCTGTTTAGTCAGAGCGCAGTAAATAACAACAGTTAAATTATCAGAAAAAAAGTCTTGACTGTAGAAGAACAGAAGACACAAAAGTCTTGACTGCATGAGGAGTTTTTTTTGGCTTGGGGCATATGAGAGTCTTAATTCAACCCAACAGGGCCTCAAAAGGCTCCTGCATCTCATAAATACATTAAATGTTTGTTCACAAAGAGCTAAACAATGCACACACTTATGTTAATTAAAAAAAATAATAATAATAAAACACACAGTAACAACCTCACTCCCTTATGCTTTAAGTAGAATAAGCACCACTGAAAACTCCAGTTCTCGCTACATTTCCTAAATGGCAAGTTATCATTCAGCCTTGCACGTAACACTGAAACACATTCTGTCTATTTCTGTTTCCTGAAACATTATTATTATCAAATAAACAACAGCTCCAACTTATCTGTTCTTGCAGTACAGGCACATACGTCCACAGAAAGGAACAGACTGCATTAAAACACTACCAAACAAGCCATTTCGCTGTATATGACTCTGCCCCTGGGGAAAGGAATGAGAGCAGATAAGATGTGACAGATGCGCAGTCACGTCACTTAATACACAACTGGAAGGTGCTCAAATCATTATGGTGACAGGCACGGTATAAAAACTTGCAAAGAATGGACAAAGCATTCATCCAGTTTGCTGCATACTTTATTCTTGTAATGAAAGAAGATACTGAAGTCCACGCAGGTGCTTCTCTGAGAGAAAATATAGGCTGTAGCTATCAGTATGAGATATAGTTCGAGGGGAGCAGGAGAGAAGAGGGGAACAGGAGAGAAGAGCACAGCACGTGTGGCTTAGTCTGCAAAACTCTTCCACCACAAATATAAAATGTTTAAGGTCAAATTCAAGGTCTGTCCTCTAAAAATTTCCTGTACCGAAATATTTTTAAACAGGTTTAATGGAACTTGAAACTTACCCAAAACAAGGAGTATACTTAGCAACTGGAGATCTCCAAGCTGATCTCATTATTCAGTCTTAAGAAAAGCTATTTTGCTAAAAAAAAAAAAAAAAAAAATCTTCTTTTTTTTTACTTTAAAGATCAAAATAATAAGAATAAAATAGGAAATCATGTGGTTACTGAATAAAGTAATAGGACTAGTTCCTTGTTGGAGGGTAAGTGCAAGCCCAGAAGTTTAAAGATCAGGACCTACAGACAATTGTCCAGCAAAAGCATGAAAAATGCAGACGAAATATGACTTCTTTCAGGTTAAATAATCCTAAATGTTACAGTAATCAAAATAGATCAAGAATAATTCTAAATAGTAGCACAATTTTTAGCTGTTGTTGTCCCTTCAGCAGGGACCAATATCACTGCTGTTTCAGATGCATCCTTAGGCCCAAACCCTGCAAAACGATCTGTACAAAGCCCTGTGCCTACAGGACTCTGCATTAAGTCAAAGGGGGAAAACCAACTCACAGGATCAGATTCTTAATTTGAAGCTGGACCACTGTAACTCATTATGACACTAATCATAAATATCTCAGTAACTCTCTCTGTGCCCCATCTGTTTTATCTTATTACAGCTTTATATCTCAATCCACAAGACTAGCTACAGCAATCAAAATAAGCACCTGCACACACCTGTGTTTCTACAAGACCGTGTCCTCAGCCAAAGCCAACCTTTTCTTATATCTGTGCACACACACACACAGTGTTCCCTGAACAGGACTGACCATACAATATAACCAAATAATTTAAGCATTTATTCAAATACAAATCTAAATCTGTTTTCAGTAATGTAGCCACTTAAGCCAAAGGACAAACTCTGTTTACTGAAATATAATCAGTTGTATTTTTAAGGGAAATTACCTGCATCTCAAAAATGAACTGCAAAAAAATGGGGTTTTAAATGACTTTAAATGAACATTTGCTTCTTCATCTTATTTTCACCAAACAACTGGAAAAGTTCATAGAAGAAAATTCACTACAAACCAGAACACCAAATCCAACAGCACTGGCAGAGAGCCTGAAAAATGGTGAGTAGAGGAAGCACTCCACTGCTCTTCCAGTCTCCTCTACTTCCAAATCAGCCCTTGCCAGCTTAACACAGAGGGGTTAGATGGTCCTTTGCACCTTTCTTTTGAGCAAGTTTCTTATTTGTACATTCTCACACGCACACCACAGAAAGAAGTCTCAACTATTTTAATGACAACTCCAGCAGAACAAATCCTACAATCCAAGTTTAATTTAATTTAAGAGATACACATAAGCTATCTGATTTTTATTTTTTTTTTTTCAACTTGTCTGTTCTTATGGAGAACCAAGGTTACGAACCAAACCAAAGTGCAATTACACATTACATATTTCAGTACTGATTACCAAATTTATCAAATGGGTAAAGGAAGAGATCTGGGAAATCTACATGCCCACAAAGCAAAAATGAACAGGCCAAATATTAAACCTATTCATCTTTCTATTTTCCAGAATAATCAGCACAAATTGTGCTTAGCTCCATTCCATGTAACAGAAAAGAAGAATGGCAATGAAAAAAATTCCCCAAACTGCGTAAGAATTCAGTGAAAGGAAACGTTTCTAGAAGGCGATTCCTTCCGCCATACCAAACATAATTCTGAGAAGAGCTGCTGGCCCCTGGATTTGTAGTGAAATTCAGTGCCAAACAGGATTTAGAGCAAACATTTGAGATATTAGAGAGATACTGTCAGCCTTTTAAGAGCTGTAAGCTGGATCATCATTTCCTTTCCCAAATTAGAAGTTAAAATTTTCCCGCAGCAACCCAACTGGAGCAGGGATACGCAGGCTGTCCTCACAGTTGTGTCTTGCCTAAGACCTGATCTTCCTCTTGAGATGCTGCAGTGCATGGCACCTTTCAATTCCAAAACCCAGCAGAAGCCAAGAGCTGCACGCAAGTTTCCCCATGCTCACAAGGCAGCTTGGCCTCACCATAACTATTGCTCAGTTTATCTGTTGAGCGTTCACAAACTAAAATACAGCGTGGGTGCCTTGAAAATTCAAGTCATCATACAGGTTAACATTAGCATTTAAAACTTCCAGAAGTATTGCAAACAATTACCACACCCTCAAGTCACAGATAAAATGTTCTGTAGAGCTTAAATACATACATTTCTGGCATGAAACATTCCTCATTACTGGCAAAATTTCCATGCAATTTCTGGCAGCAGAACACTTTGAGTTTAGAAGTCAATCGTAGATTAAAACTGTTTAGACTTATGGTTGTTAGGCTTTTTGGATATTTTAATTAAAAATCATTGTTGAGCTTACCTTTCAGCAGAGGCAGAGGAGTTAACTCAATAGGCTTGCCCTGAGACCTAAACTGGGAGGAGCTTTGTGACCTCTTCTGTCTGGCTTTTCTGACGGACTTCCGAGAAAATCCGTCTACTTTATCCACTGATGGAGGAGTAGTTGGTGCTGAGGACATATCCCTACTGAAGGAAAACAAGCATTACAAATACGTTCCAAAATTGATGAAATGGATAAAGATTAACTGACATTTTCCAACCCCCTTGCTCTGCCTTCGCTGTTCTCCTGACAACTTATCCAGACAGACCGTCTGGGAGATAACCCACCAATACACATGCAGGTCTTATGGAATAAATTATAGGAATGGTGCAATTGTTCTTCTCCCTTGTTTTATCTGCCTCATTTTTACCAAAAACCCTACAATAGGAAAAATTCTGACCTAATGATGACATCATTATGTCAACAGAACTTCATACACCTGTAGACTCAACAAAGGATTGAAGCCTAGAACTCATGCTGGAAAGCATGATGCAAGCTAAATGATCTCAAGAATGTATATGGTATATATATATGATAACTCAAGAAGGTATAAATATCTTTGTCACTTTAGAGTCATCAAAGTGCACAGAAGAAAAAAATCAGCTTATTTACCATACTTACATATACGACTTTATAGCAACACTAAAAAGTACCACAAGTAGTAGTGCCACACTTCACAATTTCAGCAAAACTGACAAAATTTCACATACTGCTCTTTACTCTCCATTTCAGACTTTCTGTTTTTGTACTGAGTCTCTTAGCACACAGTTATTCCATGCTCTGGCATTTAAGCAATAATAGAGGTATGGTAGCCATAATAGTTCTAAGGGCACAAGCCAGACAAGGTTTGCAGAGAGGCAGAGAGCCAAAAAAGGTTTCTGTGAGCAGAAGTTTGTTTGTTTCCCAACTCTATCAGCTGGTCTGAGAAATAAGCATTGCCTCTTCCTATAAAATCATGCCCTAGTAATGCTGCTGCAGCTAATTCCATACTACTGAGAAATATCAAAAAGAAGCTTTTAAAGAGTGAATTCCTCCAACTAGCTATTGTATTTAGCAGCCTGTCTGGCCTGTTAAAAAGGCACATTGCATCTTGGTGCAATACATGAGTAATACTTCAGGAAAACAAGACAGGAGGAATTTCGGCCTACGTATTTCAAGCAGCTCTGCATACAGTTAACTTCACCAGCGTGTGCACCTCTATTATTCGTATTAGCAATGCCATTATTAGGCAGAGCACTCTGCCAGTTTCAGTAGGGCCACACACTCATGCAAAGTTAAGCATCGGCATAAGCACTTGCAGGATCAGGGTCTTAGAACATGTCCTTGGAAAGCATTACTCATCCTCAATGTCTGTTGACTTCAATTACCACAGTGACTCGCAGGCTAAAAGAAGTTGATTCCACACGATCGAGAACGCTTTCAAGTACTTATTTTATTAAAATATTTGGTTACTCATACGCTGCATAAATTATTAAAGCCATTGAAACAGACATTATTATTCAGATCCGTCTTTTACAAGAAATAGAAAGTACAATTTAAGGCAACTGTAAGCAAGTTCAGAAAGATAAGAACTGTTTAATGCAAAATTATATATATGTGCACTAAATCTCTCAAAAATGGAAGTATAAACTCCACAGCTTCTCCAAGGCAGCATGTGCAGCACCAGATGCTGAGCTGTGCAGCTGGCACTGCTGTCACGAGAAAGCCTCACACCATCTTTTTCATTTTTCCTAAGGTCCTCTCCACCACCAGCTTACACTTTCCAAATATAATATAGTGTCAGCAATGCGATCCCATCCCTTACACAAGGTTTGTTAGCCATCCAGGGGGGAAGAAATGCCCCCATCAGCGGGGCATCCAGGCCCCAGCCGAGATTAACAAATAAAGAAGTCTGATAAACTGAAATAGAACGGCCTGCACTCCGACACCCGCTTCTAAGGTTCCAAAGCTCCGCCAAAAATATATCTAAGCACAAAGTTACCTGTTACATAAACCCAAATTATGGAAAATAGCAGCAGAAACACACAGCTAAAAGCCAGAGCCGATGGCCTTGTTTCATCTCATCGAAAAGATTCCTCTGCCTGTCACGTGTGTGGCTGAAGTGTAACCATCCCTGCACTCTCTCTCTCGAGATGAAATCACCAAAATAATAACAATGCTAATAACAACGAGCAGCGAGCAGAGCGGATGGCCCAGCTGCAGGATCATGGTGTCAGCGCTGAGCCTCACCAGCATTTCTCCACTGTAAATTTAGAAACAGTTTCCCTCACCTGCGTTATAAATTATTAAAGCCTCATTCTAATTCCACAAGGCAGCATCCAGCCTGACAACCCCGTGGTAAACACCGATCCCTTTTTTTTTTTTTTTTTTTTTCATCCTTTCGATGATGAACGCGCTGTAAGGGCGAAACACGCGATTCCAGCAGGGTGGGGGGAGGAAAAAAAAAAAAAAAAAAAAAAAAAACCAACAACCTGAGATTATTTAATGCGTGTAGGAAAGCTGTGGAGCTTAAGCGCCGTTTCTCCCAAGGAGGGGCCGTATTCTCGCAGGATGGAGTGCCGGGAGGAAGGAGAAGCCACGCACCCCAGATCGGGGGGGGTGCGAGGCGAGGGGACGTGAAAATAGCGACGGAACGCACCGGGAGGCCCGGGCCGCCACGCCGCCATCCGCTGCCTCCAGCCCGCTGCCATCGGCTGTCATTTCCCGGCGGGAGCCCCGCAGCTGGAACACGTCCTCCCGCAGCCCCCTCACCGCCACCCTCCTCTTCCCCTGGGCCTCCTCCTCCCCGCGCCGCGATGGAGTTACCTTGACCCTCCCGGTTGAGAAGCCGGAGACGGGGGGGAGGCGGCGGCGGCGGCCTGAGCCGGGCTCGGCGGAGCGCGGCCGATGCCTGGAGTGCAGTACGCGCCGGGCTCGGTCCCCGCCGCGGCGGCGCAGCAGCCTGTAGGCCTCGGCGGCGTCGGCGGCCTCCCCGGCGCAGGGCGGCGTTGGCGGCGGCTTCAGGAGCGGGCGGCTGCTCGGGCTGCGCTCAGTCCCATGCACTCGGCGCGGCCCCCTGCCTGCGACGCCCGCTGCCTCACTCACATTCCCGGCGGAGCCCTGCGGAGGGGCCCCGAGGAGGCGGCGGAGGGGAAGGGGGGGCAAAAGGGGGGGAGAAACGCGGGGGGAGCCGAGCCGAGGCGAGGGGGAGCGGCGGGCGCGGTGCGGGCGGCCCCGCAAAGGGAGGGCAGGCCTCTTCCGCCGGCGGCTGCCTCAGGTGAGCGACGGGGTCCCGGCAGGCGTCGGGGTCGCGCTCCGGCTCGCTCCTATTGTCGCTCTCAGCGGGCTCCGGCCATGGCACTCGCTCGCACACACGCACGCACACACGCTCCCTCCCTCGCTCACAACCGAGCGTGCTGCCACCGCCCCCCGCCCTCCGTTCCCGCCCACCCGAGCGCCGCCGCCGGGACGCGCCGCCTCATTGGCGCCCGCCGCTGCCGCCGGGACAGCCGGGAAAGGAAGGGGAGCGCTGCCGGAGGAGGAGAGGGCGGCGGCAGCAGCTCGCGGCGCTGTGGCCGGCGGCACTTCTCGCCCATCCGCGGGCCGGGCGGGAGCGAGGCACATCGGCTGAGGTAAAAACCTTGAAATCTGTGAGGGAAACCCCCGTATTCCCGAGGTTAAAGCTAATATTCCCGAGGTAAAGCCCTCTAATCCTGAGGTAAAACGCCGCACTGGGCCCTGTGCGGGGCTCGGTGACCCTTCTCGGGGCTGCGGGCGGGACGGCCCCACCGCGGTGTCCAGAGAGACGCTCGGAAGGACGCTCCCAGGGGCGCTCCCTCAGCGCCTGCCGTGCTCTGAGCGCTCCACATCCCGCCCTCAGGGCTCTCCAGCCACCCCTGCTCCCTCTTTGTCACCTTTCCTAAAGTGTATTTATAGATGTGGCAGCCAGCAGGATGGCTGGGTGCAGGTAGCATCAAGAACTGTCAGAGTGTTGTTTAAATTCGTTTACTTGGGAAGCCTGATTTCTATCAGAACTCAAGCAGTGGTGTTCATGTGGCTGCTGTGTTTAAAAATGCTGTTCTCTGTGGTGTTTGTATTTCTGGTAGGAAAAGAAAAAGGAATCTAGAGGCTGCGTTGCTGGGTTGTTGTAGCCAAAGGCTTCTGATGCACATGAAGGGCAGTTTGAGGCAGTTACATCCCTTGTTTGTTCAGGTACTGAGTGCCCAAACCTTGAAAATGACCAATCCTGCAAAGGATTCCCACTTCTTGCCCACTGTCCAGAGAGGTGGGCAGCAGTGTTGGTGTAACAGAGGAGTTAGGACTCAGGTGGATGAAACTGAGAGTGATTGGAGCTGTTGGAAGAGCACTTTCAGACTCGCTGACTTTCAGCCTGGTGAGTTCTCTGTTCCAGCCCTCACTGCAGCCCCAAGGAGAAGCAGGAACTCAATAAATAAAAGCTTTCTGTTATGGAGGTATAGCTGTAATAAACGCAGTTCTGCTTCGCATCTCTCAGTGTGCCTCTTCCATGTCTCCCCTAATTTTTGCTATCTACAGACTAAACGATTTAACTTCTTCTTTCCTCATGAGCCCTAGTTTCAGTCCTCTGAGCATGCATATTTCCCCCCATTTTCTCTTAGAACCATCCACAGTTTCTGAACCACAGCACCCAAGACTGGACACATTGCTACAGTCAAGTCCACCAGCATCTGCTATGTCATGCCCATCACACACTGTATTCCAGTTTACACACACCAATGCAAAGACTTTTCAGACAGTGATCTATTCACAGTATTGCTGACCTGTTTTACCCCATCATCCATTTCTCCTGACCTACCAGTTATTTCTCCTTCAAGTAGACAGTAATGCTACTCAAGAATGATTTATTGCAACTGGCCTAATCCTTTCCCTTCTCTTTTATTGCTGGATAGATGGACAATCAAGCAGTCAAGACATCTTTTAAAACAAAATTCCACAGAATTAGAAAATAGGAAAACCTGTCATTTTTGTAAGTCAACTGCATTCCTGGGTTAGAACTGTGTTATGGTTACCAGAATTATTTATACACAATTAAAACTTTAAGTTCACTTACAGCAACTTAGCTAACATAATCTAAATGCAAAACGTACTCTGTAACAAATAATTTAAGTCAGTTTGTTGTCTACATCAGTGTTAGATAAATTTTTGCAAAAATGGTAACTTCCCATTGCTCTGATAAATGAGGAACCAAACCTGCAGATGCACATAGTTTGCTTTCTTACTTGTACTTAATTCTGTTACTTTTGTTTATCAGCCTAATTCTGAAGTACTCTGATTTATTCACTGCCCCCTGCACTTGTTTCCTTCTGGACTAAACAGTGCATTGGGCAGCTCATAAGGTTACTGATGTCAAACTGTAAAAGGGAAATTCTGCAGAGAGTGATGGCTGGACAGGCTTCTTAGATGAAGTTGAGCATGTCATTTTAAATGGTTGTGCTTAAGTCTTCCCATTACTAAATTAAATCCGTCAATGTTAAAAATCTAAAACTGGAGTGCCTGATATGGTTATTTATTGAAGTCTCTGCTGTAGAAGGGATAAAACTGAAGGCCACTATCCCAGTTTGCTGTCCTGCCTGCAGGTTTTTACTTTTCATTCTGTCATTGTGAAATAGCTGTAGAATCAGTTCTTCACTATAACTGCACAATGGGGTAAAGAATGCATTTGGATAGTTTGGTTTCTCTGAAAACTGCTTCATCTGTTCATCCATTCTGACTGCGTAAAGCACCTTAATCGTGTGTTTTATATCAAGTGATACTTGTATGGTAATAATTAAAGGAAAATGCAAGGTTTTTGGTGAACAAGAAGGATCTTTCCTCTTCTTTAACACATGGCCAGCAGAGTTTACAGAGTTGCTTTCCCATCTTCTTCCAGGTTGTCATCTTTTTTCTGTTTCGGTCTGGAAGATTTCCATCTGTGAAGAAATTTAGGATCACAGCATAAGATACAAATATAAAACTGCTAATATTTAGGAGGAGCTGTTACTTGGCTTTCTCCTATTTTCTTTTTGGTATAGGTTTTGTATAGCTTCAAAATGATCGCACAAACCCCGGGCAGTGATGGAGGAAAATAAATTTTAACAACTTAAAATATTTCACACATATGGATATTTTGTATATATTGTATGTGTATAAATATATAAAATATATAAAACATCAATTTGCAGGAGTAAAAATTAAATGTCATCGGATAAGTTTCACATGGAATGAAGTTGTACATGCAAGTGTGTGGGTCTGAAAATAATCATGCATGCAAAATCTGCACCCCTTTCTGAAGATCTACAAGAAATAAAGTTTTTAATCACTGTATTTCTCTTGCTGTCAAAGGCACAAGATAAGCTCATTCTTTAAAAACTGCCTTACAGTTTTTAAAACCACGTAGGAAGGAATTTCCATGGCCACCTCTTCACCAGTCCTTTTTGGCACCCAAGCAGTCAGAACAGCCCTCCGAAACAGACATTTTGCACCAGTGACTCAGATTTGTTCCGCTTCACATTTTTTGTGACTGAAGTTCCACTATAGACCATCTGTTACGGCCACTCGGGCAGGAATACAAGCTCACATCCACGTTGGTGTTCTGTCTGCTCTTTACATAGAAACTTATCAAACAGGACTGCTAAACAGATAACAGTGCGGAAGACCTGCTCTACTGAGCAATAAACACAAATGGATTTAACTGGAGCTTGTAAATGTTTCAGGAAACACACCCAGCATGTATTTGTCTACAGTAAGGGTCATATAATAGTCCATAAAGATCTCCTGTAAGTCAAAAGGAGCATTATCAGTGGGCCTATGGGATTAGTTCAGATATTCCCAGTACCAATCCTAGTAAGCAAGAAAAGATGTGATCTCCCCAGAGAACTAATTATTCAGGCCAGCAGGAAGAAAGACCAGAAAGAGAAAATGTTACGGAGGAAGCAGCAGTGCTGTTTGAAGAGGCAAATCAGTGTGTGAACAAGGCTTTTCTGATGCATCTTTTAACAAAAGTGAACAAGGTGGAATCCTGCATCAAAGTAACTGTCCTGCTCCATCAATTTGATTGAAATAGTCCGATCTGACAGTTTTTTGCTTTTGAATCAAATTTGTCTGGATCAAAAAGAAAATTATTTCAGCTGTTTATGCTGCAGTTGATTTCTGCTTCTTATGCTTCATATTTTGGGGGGAAATGGTACGACCAATTTTTGGGCAATGTTTATAATCAGGGTCATATCTCAGTAATAAGAATATACCCTCAGGAACTGGAATCCTGATATGCAGATTTGGAATAAGGATTTTAGGGTCACAGACACAACTACCCAAATGAGAACTAAGTCTTCTTCTCTGTTTATAGACACTGCGTCACTTGAAGTCTGTTTCTGTAGTCAACATGGTAAGATAAGTGGGATCTCACTCGCCTCTGCAGCTGGCTAGCTGCCTCCTCCTAGCATAACAAGCCTAGCTGCTTTCACTTAGTTCCCAATTACCTTTTTTGTTCTTTTTTTTTGGTGTTGTTGAATCCTTCCCCTCCCCCAGCTTCTTTACTTGCCTTCTAGCCCCAGGCACTCCTTTAGGCTTAGTTTTCCGAGCTTTTTGTTAACTTCCCTTCTCTGCCAGTTTCACTCTGCTTGCTTCTGGCAGAGCAGTGTCTTCCTCGCTGATGTCTCCAGCTGTCACTCCCTAACCTCTGGAGGTTTGAGGTTCCAGAAATCCCTGCGTTCTGAGGGCACTGCCTGTGGGGCTGCCTCTGGGGGCTGAAAGCACACGTGGAAATAGGGCACAGCCCATGTGCTTCGTTGTCCCCTGTACTGCTGGAGTGTGCCTGAATCACAATTTGAACAGCTCTTCTTCCATTTCTAATTCTGTTTCTTTGCTTTTTGATCAAGCCTTCTCATTTCAGTTGTTTCCTAGTTTAAAGCCATCCATCCATCCATTAAGATGAGCACCCTCTGGTCTGGACCAGCTTCCTACATCACCACGCTCCAAGAGAAACAAAATGGATACACAGAAATATGTGGTTAAGGTGTGCAACAGTATTTCGAGTGTGTGAACTGCTTTCATAGTGCTTCCCAAGTCTCCAGCAAGATTCCTACCAGTTTCACTCTCAAGCTGGGTGCTTCTCCATGGTTCTAAAAACAGTTGATAATACATTTGAGATTTTCAGAAAGTACAGAGGCACTGAAGACTGACTAGGCCAAGACAGAATAATTGTTATAAAAGAGAGCAAGAAATTATTCCTGTTCTATCTTTCTCAACTCTGCCTTCTTTGTGCTGTAGCACAGCTTTAACCTATTAGATACTTCTAAAGTTTTTAAATAATTGCAAATCAATCATATATTGGCAAGAAATGGAAGGGACCTTAGAGATCATCTCTCTCTAAACTTGAAAAAAAAAAAAAAAAAGATGTTCATTTATATTCTGTAGCTCAACTCAGCATTTTAGGGAATGTTTAACATCAGAGGGGGATCTTACGCCACTTAAACACATCTAAAATATAAGTTCTAATGGGTTCCAAAGCTTGCAATACAAAGCTAGAGAGAGGAAAGAACTGCATAGGTGCCAAGGGCTTCTCCACAGAGCTTTTGAACTCTTGCAGATGTTAGGAGCAAAGATACTTCGACAGAAATGGCTAAGTGCTAGTTACAGATATAAAGACAAATCCTCCTGGGAGTCTGCTCCATCAGCAGGACTGCCCTCATGCTGAGCAGAACAAAGTAAAGAGGTTGGGAAGGAGCTGTGTGTTTCCCAGTCTTAAATTCTGAGAAAAATAATAGACAAAGGCATGGCAGGAGGAAGAATACAAATAAACTGCAGCAGAGGCAGAGGATAAACTTAGTTCACTGAGCAATGGATGTGGTAAAAACAGCTTAAGAGACTGCAGTTAGTATAGGCCATAAAGATCTGGAGCAACCCGGAACAACATTTTAGGCTGGAGATTACAGTGAAGGAAGGTAAGTTCTTTACTGTGAGAGTGGTGAGGTGCTGGAACAGCTGCCCAGAGAGGTTGTGGATGCCCTGACCCTGGAGGTGTTCAAGGCCAGGTTGGATGGGGCCCTGAGCAGCCTGGGCTGATATTAAATGGGGAGGTTGGTGGCCCTGCATGTGGCAGGGGGGTTGGAGATTCATGATCCTTGAGGTCCCTTCCAACCCTGGCCATTCTGTGATTCTGTGAAAGGGTCTTACTTCAAAAAGGGCCTTTGGCCTGAAGAAGAGAACAGGCAGGTAAGCAAAATCCTTTTTTTCCATACAAGAAAGAATTATTCTTCATCTGTTTCCTGCCCTAGAAGTAGTCCCCCTCTGCATCCACTGTAAGTAAGGGAGAGCCATAAGCACTACAGTACAGACACAAACCAGTCAGTGTTGATGTCCACTCCCTGGCTGGGAGATACTGCAGTAGAAGCATTACCTGGAGAGGAATCTATGAATACTGAAATAGGAAGGATGGAAAAGAAAGTTTTAAGAACATTTTCTACAGTCCAAATCCACTGTCAAGGTTAAGCAAATAGGGCAATTTTACCACTGAGAAAATTATGTGAATAGGGAGAGATCTGCACCGGAATTACAGATGCCATATAAATGACAAGAAAGAAAGGAATTGTCTTCAGGTGGGAATGGGAACAAGACCTGAAATCATAAAGCAGTGAATCCTAGAAAAACGCAGGAATTGATCAGATTTAAATAGAAAATAGCAAATAGCAGCTTAATATCCTGACTAAGCAGACAGTACAAAAATAGATAATCAGAACAAGAACAAAAATGGTGTTGCAGCAACTGCTGGAAGTTTAAAGACTTAGTTGAAAAATGAGAATTTCTCACTTTAAATGAACACATTGATATAACTCATTTCTTTGAAAACACTGAAAAGGATTTGTATTCAAGCCTCTGCTGTATGTGATGACAAAAAGAGGCTGGAGTGTTAAGGCTGGGAAAAAAAATGGGGAACATCATTGTACAATCCATCATACATCCTTATTCTCAACTGTGTGTAATGTGGGAGAGATTGTATTCAGCAAAAAGAATACGGAGAAGGCAAAGAAAAGAAATGGCCTGCTGCAATTGCCATACAAGGAGGGGATTAATATACTGGGAATCTTGAACTTGTAAGAAGAAATGCTGGTATAATTCGGCAGAGGTCTGTCAGTATCGTTGATGGAGAATGAGTGATTTATTTTTCAGAACAGTTTTGTATTATTTGATCTCAAATTATCTGGCAAGGTGAAATACTACAAACTTCCATATCCTGTTACAGAGGCAAAAGGTATAAGCAAGTTCAAAAATTAAAATGTGCTGAAGGACACCAAGGAGATTAGATTGTCCTTGTGCATGGACAGGACAGCATAATTGCAACATACATTACATATACAACACAGTAATGAGTTTGCAGGCTTATTTGCCACTAGATAAAAATGCAGCACTATTAGCTTTACAGATCTCTGATGTAGAGAAGTCCAGACACCAGATGCAGAATAAGGTAACTCAGTAAATACAGAGGAATTTGAACCAATGTAAAATCTGTGACGTGTTAGGATAAGATTTGGCATTTTAAATTATTAAGTGGCTACATCGATATGTTTCAATTCATTCAACCCCTTTCTTACAGTTTTCAACATTCTTCAGTGTCGGGGTTTCCAAAAGGATTTATAGCAAGAAGGTATCACCAAGACTTGAATGAGAGTAGATCAAAAATAGCATTGAGGTTTACTTTAAGAGAATGCAAGGAGGAATTAAAAACATCATTTGCAAAGGCACCACAAAACACCTCTGGAAAATTCATTTTCAGCTATATTTAGTACATTTGAAGAAATGGTGGCTCCCACTTGAGCTATATCAGCTCCAATACAGATAAACAATAGTCAGATTACATAGACTTGCCTTGAATAACTAAATATTTAATGCAGTTGTGCACTTCTGAGTCATGTTTGGTTTTAGTATGCATCTTTTCAGGTGAGTTCCTGCCTCTAAGCAGTCTTACCTCATAACTGCAATTTCTGTAGGTGGACATCTGTACTTCATTTATTTAAGTCCATTCAATATCAAAAGTATGTCGAGACAATGAAACTAACGCTGAGAGCTTTTAGTACACAAATAGCTCTTCAGTACAAAGAGCCCTTCAGTACACTCTTCCCTGCACTTTTTTTTCTACAATAATTCCAGTTCTCACTTTGTTTAGCTCTGATAGCTCCGTAAGCCTGGTTCTTGAAAATTTATCCTCATCTCATAGCACGACTGTTAGACAGACGCTGCAAGGACAGCAATGTCTGTCCCACTGAAGTTCTACAGTGTGTTTTGTTTTCCTTATACTGATTCGTACCTGGATCAAATTCATATTATCATCTTCAGTTCCTTTTGTGAAAACTCACTGCAACTTCATTCAAGACCTCAAACACTGTCTACATAAGCCAGATCCTGGAAAATACAGAAGAAAAAAAAAAACTTTACTCCATCTTGTATATAAAACATCTATTGCTGATACATGTGTAATTTTATTTGATTTGCAATACTTCACTTTTTTCTTTCTTGCCAAAACCAACAGTAGCTGTTGCTAATGCTGTTTGCCAGCATCTCCATCTGCATCTTTGGTTCCTTGTTGCCTTCTTGCTGTTAGCATTTAATCATAATCACAGAACGGCCTGGGTTGAAAAGGACCACAATGCTCATCCAGTTCCAACCCCTGCTATATGCAGGTCACCAACCAGCAGACCAGGCTGCCCAGAGCCACATCCAGCCTGGCCTTGAATGCCTGCAGGGATGGGGCATCCACAGCCTCCTTGGGCAACCTGTGCCAGTGCCTCACCACCCTCTGGGTGAAAAACTTCCTCCCTTTACAGAAGTCTGATTGCATCTCTGAATTCTCGTGGGAATTTTTCCCTTTTGGTGGTTAAAATTTATAGTAGCATGAAGTTATTTGTACTGTGAATCACATCTTCCTGTAGCTCAAGGCCTTGGCCTGGTCCCCTCTCAGATGTCCTACACGGTGCTCTGTCAGTGCTACGGAACACCTCTCTCTCATCTACCAGGTCCCAGGCTCACACTGCATGTGCCAACATTTCAGTACTGTTAGTAACACCAGGTTCCATTTCAGGGTGTTCAACTAAATGAACCTCAAAATTTTACCATGTAGAAACTGGACCCTTCCTTATCTTACCTTCCCTTAATCCTTTCTTTTGGAGTGATTTCCATAAAGCACCCAGGAAAACAGTCAATTTTGTCTCCAAGTCAGCACTGCATTTGTTTCAAGTTTTTGTCTGAGCTGTTTTCTGTGACTGTTTACTTAAGTGATTGTGTATTTAGATGCACGCAGGTATATTTTTAAGGCTTTCAGTCCAATTTACACAAATGCTACATTTAATGCATTTTTCTCTGGAGCTTCATGTCCCAGTTGTCCTATTAGTATTGTGACACGTCTGCTCATATGAGGCACATCCACTGCACATCTCAATAAAAGTAAACATCCTGTGTTTCTCAGCCTTCTCTAAAGCCCAACAGATGGCTGCTACTTTTACAAACTGTGCTGAATAGAATGGCTCACGTTTCCCTTGCAGAGTCTTATTTCTGGAATCCAAACCCAGTATAATTCTTGCAGTTTGGAACACGGATCTAGGCACAGATCTGTGGAGCCCACATCAGTCCCACATGCTGACTCTTTGCAGCTCAGATCCGCTTGCTTTTCAGAATGGATGTACAGGGGAACATACTTGGTATTTCTGAACCACCCAAAGCTGCAGGATGACTATAATGGCTTCCACATGTATGTCCTTGATCATCAAACCTAAAGGTCCTTTGTGCTATACATCTGTCAGAACCTTTAATGTTCTCTTTTTTTTTTTTTTTTCCCAGAGAAAAGTGTTTTTTGGAGATATAGGATATTCTTAGAATGACTGGATTTCACCTTAATGCTCGGAGCCAGTCCCTGTTCAGGATACTGTCAGAATCTGTGGGAAATATTGTACGTTTTCACTCCCTTACCTAACGCTCAGCAGACAGATGCCACAGGCGTATGGCTTAGCCTGATTTTGCAGCAGCAGTGCTACACTGATGTTATCTGCTCTTACCCCCATCCAGGAACCAAGGGTGCTCTGGTGCCTGGGTGAATTAGCAGCAATGCCAGCTTGAGACTTTACTCTGCATGCACGAAGGTGATGAGTTCAGGAGCTCATTCCTGTCTCATTTTTTTCCTCAAAAAATCATCTCTGGAGCTACTTCAGCTGCAGATCAAGGCAAGCAGTTGCTGTATAAGTTTTACAGCAGTCACAGGGCAGTTCAGGAATGGTCTTCATCTTCGCCTGCTGAAAATTTTTCTCCACTGAATGGCAGGCTTGCAGTCAGCTACTTGTTCCCAATATCCAGTGACTGAATTAAGGATCTAATGAAAAAAAAAAAAAAAGCTTCAGGAAGACCTTACAAACTAATTAATTTTTTGCATGGAAGATTTTCAGTGAGCTACACAGCTGTTATGTAGTGTCCAGAGGCCCTAAAATTATACCATTTGTTTAGGCATGTTTATGTCAGGCTTAACTCTGGAGAATTCAGGAAGTCCTTATACTTCTCCTCCAAATATACTGTCTACCAAAATAGTTGAGTGCAAGCTAACATACTAGCTACCCTTGTAGACTTACATCACCAAGACCCTGTCTGATTCATGGCATTTGCAGGATATTTTTTCATCATACCAACACAGAAACAGAACAGGAGACTGGCCACAACCCAAAACCCATCAAGTCTTCTTTATTTCCTAAATCAGTTATTTGCACTTCCAATTTCCTTTACCATTCATGTGGTAATTTTTTTTTGGTGGGTTTCTTTTTAAACAGACTATTTTCATTGTGTTTTAAATGTTTTGGGGTTTTTTTGTGTGTGTACCATATTATTTGCATTGTATCACTTCAAGCTTAGCCAGCTTGACCTTCAGCTCAACATCGGATCACTTCTGAGTGACCCTGGAGAACTGAGAAACCAGAGATTTGAAAGGTTTCTCACCAGAGGTCTGGTCATGGCGATGGCATTCTGCTTTAACTCCCAGTAATGGTAACATCCTCTTGGAGCAGTTTTTCTGTTGATCACAAGATCTAACTGGTTTAAGCTGAGACAGTCTTCAGCCAGTCTTGCAATGCTTCCTTAAAGAGAGGTTCCCTGGGTGGTTATATCCATATTCACATTAATAGGGCTAAGTGTCATTGACTGGTGTACACAGCCAAAGAGTTTCTAGAGAGGATCTGTTGGCTTTTTGTTTTGCTTTCTTTTACAAAAAGTTCTGCTCAGAAAAATCAATATAACCGAAAAAAGCAACCTATCAACATTTTCCAGTACATATAGCAGAGATTCCGTTTGCTTTACCTAACACACATGAAGAATGTGTACTAAGATCAGGTGAACTACTTGCATTCATTGAACTCTGCCTGGAATTTCATATATTTTGTTAACTGCAATATTCCAGTACTTGAAGGGAGCATATGCACAGGAGGGGGAACAGTTGTTTACGAGGGTGGACAGTGATAGGACAAGGGGGAATGGTCTTAAACTGAGGCAGGGGAGGTTTAGGTTGGATATGAGGAAGTTTTTCACACAGAGGGTTGTGAGACACTGGCACAGGTTGCCCAAGGAGGCTGTGGATGCCCCATCCCTGCAGGCATTCAAGGCCAGGCTGGATGCGGTGCTGGGCAGCTGGTTGGTGACCTGCACACAGCAGGGGTTGGGACTAGATGGTCATTGTGGTCCTTTGCAACCCGGGCCATTCTATGATTCTGTGATTCTATGATTCCAGTTCTTTTAGATTAAAAATCTAAAAGAAATATTTTAGGACTGCTGGTACTGATCTTCATGCAGGTGCTTTTTAATAAACTAAGAACCACAAAGTTTTATCTACTTTTTTTCTGTCAGTCTTCACTTTTTTTTTTAATAAAACAGTCATATTTCAATTTCGTTGAGTTTTTCCAATCATCCCTGAACCATCTTGTCTGCAATATAAAGACACATCCTTGTGTTTGTAGACGTCCCTTGCCACCTGGGCATCTGGACAACAGAACAATCATAAGGACTATAAAGGTTGATCAACTCTTCTGCTTTTTCAAAAAATTATGGTTTGTGCACAAGTGTGCTCAGGTGAATATATCATGAATGTTATCAGTGGTCACATGAGGCATCAAAATCTATTGCTCCTTACACAGAAACTTGTATTCAATTGTGACCCAAGCCAATAGATATGATTTCTACAGATATTTGTTACATTGAGGAGGAAAGGCCATATAGTGCAGCCTTACAAATTTTAAGTGGGAGAGAAACTTTGTATGAATGTGCTCATCGTAGCCAGAGCTTCAAACACATGCTGTGAGAAACCCATAATAAACACACACAACCTCTCAGCCTTTTACTCCTTGTTCATACACAGATCCTACAACCTATCTATCACCTACATCTGGCTCTTTTCTTTCCCCACTTAATTTCTAAGTGCTGTGCATGCTTTACACTATGCTGAAATCTGTTCCAGCCGGTCAGGCTACGCTGCTGCTACAAAGGATGAAAGCAAGGTCAAGCTAATCAAGCCCAAGAGGATAGCAACCCATGTGGCTATTAAAGAAGGTTACAGTAGGCTCAGAGTTGTCAGGAGAGACATACAAACAGCTCCTTACGAGTGTAAATAAGGCAGATTTAAATGTGTTTAATCGTGCGTGCCTGTCTCAAAATCTGGCTCATCGTTCTTCTTTCTATTTCTCACTCAGGGTCACCAGTGCCTGAAAACACTGATATGCCAAGGAAGCCAATTCCCTGTGGGAGCATGACTGTGCTCCACACACAGAAATTTCCCCTTCTGTCACTTGGCATAGTTCAGTATGTGACTTGCTAATTCAAAATACAAACAGAGAGGAACTAGGGCCAATAGTTGAAGAGCTGCAAGCAGAATTCTCAGCCCTTCCCAGTAAGTGAATGATACCTCCCCTCTGGAACTATCACCCATTTCTCTGTTGTTTTTTTTTTTAGCTTAACCGGTATTATACCCTTGGAACTTAGGAGGAAATGGGAAAAATGCCATACTCAAACACACGTTTCAGGCTGAAAAAGCAAACCGCTCAATGTCTGCAGTGCATGATCCATAATTTAGCGGGCGAGTTTCTCTCATCCTCTAGTTCTTTTGTTCCCATGAATTGCTTATTTCCTTTCTTTCTCTGTATCATTTTCTCTGGTAACTTTGTTGTTCTTTAACACCTTTTAATTATAGTATGAAATACATAAGCATGTATTTAAATACATCTCAGTTCCTGCTGCTCTCATCCTGGTTATAAACGCAATTTAAAAACCTTACTCATATTTATGCACCATTCATCAAGCTTCTGAGAAGGAAAAAACTTTCCTGTATGCCTTCCTTTACAAGTTTTCCTTCATTTCCAAGCATCAGGGTGCACGAGGCCTGCTGCAGCTTTGCAGGCTTTGCCTGAAAATGCCTAAGAAAATGAAACATCCATGTTAAACATATGGAAAATACAGTGAGAGTACAGCCAGACATTTTCTGAAAGCCAAACTTAGGACACTGCCTTTCCTTTGGTTCTTTATCTAACCCTGTGAGTGCTGACTCTCTCCCAGGATGGCAGTGAACTTCAGCAGGAGGCAGTAACGATGTCTTAACAGTAACTGCCATAGTAATGGTGTGTCTTCTTTCCCCTCTTGCAGCAGGATGGAGCACCTGGTTCTGCTCTGGAAGGTGAAACCAAGAGGCTTCTTGCTTAGGGACAACACTGTTGTACATGTGGGGATTCTTTACTGGGAATCTTATGGCATCTTTGCTTGGCATATCCTCAGGAATTGTTTTGATAATTGCTCCACTCTTTTTACACAAGGTGCTCATTTGGTGCTTGCCAAACCCTTCCAATGTCCATCTACAATTCATAACACTTTCTTGACACTCTATTTATCAGGGAACCAAGTGAGCAGGGAACTAGCTGCAAAAGCTGCTTGCTCCCTGGGCTCCCTCCTTTGTTCAGAGGAGCTCGTCTGAACTTTTATTACAAAAAATACTCAAGAATTAAGATAAAGTCCTTAATCCAGTGTGACTTTCCACTCACAGAACTGCACCTGGAGCATGGACCACATCCACTCAGTTCTAAAACAATCCAGTGCTGCTCACAGCTCATGTTTCATTTCAGAGCCAAACTTGGAAAGCTCAGGCTAGCAGTTGCATGTTAAAGGAGCTGGTTTCGCCTTTTAAGTGTTTGAATTTGAAATTCAAAGTTAGTATCTCAAATTAAGGAAAGCTGATAATGTATGGCAATACAGAGGGCATGATGCCTTTAATAGAATTATTAAACTGAATTAATGACTACGTTTTTCAATAGGGAGAAAGAAAAGGGAGTAGAAAGGGGCCATGAAAGTTAGTATTCCTATCCAAAGAATTAAAAAATCAGTTCTCCTGATTGTTTATGGTTAATTAATTCTAAGAAAATTCTAAGAAAACAGAGAGAATTTATCAGTGATGCTGTAGTAAATGAGCAGCTCTCAGCAGTCTGCCATCCTGAGTCTATCAGCATATATTCAAATTTACTGCCTTATGGACAGATAGGGCTCTGATGGACCAGAGCTTGTTGCAGTCCTTCCACACTTTATGAACTTATCTTCCTGAAGCCTCCACACATTGACAGGAACCATCGAACATGCCAAATGCTATCAAGCGTACCTTTTGGTAGGTGCTAGAACTTTCCATTTGCCTGCTTCAAAATCTCAGCTCTGAAAGCTGTTCCATCACAACGAAAGAAGAACATTTTCTCTGTGCAGGTGTTGGAGCACTGACACATGCTGCCCAGAGAGGTTCTGGAGTCTCCTCCCAGACGTGGGCCTGGCCTGCCTCCTCTGGGTCTCTGCTGGAGCAGGGGTTGGACCAGTAGGCCCCAAACTTGTCCACAGCTTAGAAGCTCAAGAATGCTCACTTCAGCAGATATTTTACTTATTTGGGCTAACAAAAGATAGAACAAAATAAAATAAATGACCCAAAGCCGTTCAAGAGTATTAGTACATAAATAGTAATCAAGCTCAGTACCATGATCAGTGGCTATTGTGAAAGCTGTTATCTGTTAATCACAGTTTAGTCATTCCAGGTTGATTTCAGAGCTTTCTGTCAGTACCCCAAACCAGCTACACTTCATCTTAGCTGAAGTTATCTTCAAATGGCTTTCTAGATTAGGTTTTGGTAATTCAGGCTACAGATTACAATACTTTAACAGCCCATTTAACAGCCATAGCAGATCCTACCTGGAAACAGACTGAGGAAATAAAAGCAGCAGTTCTTGATTCTGAACTTGCCTTCCAGTCAGAATCATTTTACCTTTTGCCTCTGGAATGGAGACAGACGAACTAATTGAGATGTCATCATGTCATCAGGAGCAGCCAAATTCAGAAACACCAGGAACACACAGGAGAACAACAGTGATTTTGCCCACATCCAGTTGGCCGGCAGTGAAGAGGAGCGATCCCATGACTGTGCAGCACAGCCCAAAACAGCATGAAGCATTTCCGTTCTCAATTCTACAAAAAGTCCTTTCTCACTTTGAGAAAGCTCCTTTAACATCCTTTCATATCCCACTGGTCCCCTCTGAAAGCGGCCGCTAGAGAAGGTTTTGTGGGCTGAAGTCAGATTTGGACTAGATTAATGCATGATGCTGAGTCTACATGCATACCAAACTGTGTTGCAAGACAACTAACACTTGGATTTATTCTAGGTAATATTTTATTTGGGATGGGGTGCAGCTCAAATGGTAGAGGAAAAAGGCCAGAAAACTGTCGTGATCATTTAGTCTGGTAAGAGATACAACTCATTTCTCAAAAAAAATGAAGTCCAGTCTTAATCCAGTGCCATCGTGCCCTGTAGGTATAGGCAAGTAGCTGGAATGGTTAATTGTGCCCCTATCCCCCTTTATAAAGTACCTTATTTCCCATTTGACTGATGTTTTGAATGGCATCTCATTTCAGCTCACAGGCATTCATCCTGTCAGACTCTGACTATTGTGATAAGAGCCTTTTATTACCAAATTTTATCTCTGTATAAAGTCATTAGCTGAAGAACAAAGCCTGCAGCACTCACAAGCTGTGGAAGGTGGGATATTCCTCTTTACATCCTTCTGTCTTCGTTCTGTGGTTTTCTCCAGCACAGAGATGCAGTACAGGGTCTGGCAGGGGATGAGTTTGTGGTGCTGGGGCTCATACTGTCCACTATCAGATTCGGAGCGCAGGTCCCAAAGCAGCACATGCCCTCAGTACAGCACAAGGCACCCCATCTTTAGAGGACCTTCACTCACATGCACTTCAGAGAGGCCGTGAGCTTCCTAGAATTTGAAATACATAGGATTCAGGCCAGCTCAGGATTTACAACTTGCATGGGTTAAGTAGTGGTATTGGCACTTACTGTATGTTTCCTTATGGAGAAAGCAACAAATGCAAGCGAACTTCAATAGAAATGAAACAACGATAAAAACAAACATTGGGGAAAACATCAGAATACAAATTTGTACTCCAAACATTTAGACAGTGCTAAATCTAGATGTGTATCAGGCTACGTTAACCAGAGACAGGAAGAAATTCAGAAACTGCCAGTCGTAGATGAAAAGTGTATCAGGTAGTTTTCCTTTACGTACCTACTTCATAAGTGTCCCCTTCACAAAGCACACTTAAAAGCAGGTTCGTGGTGCAGGGGAAGCAGTTAACAGCACCAGCACCAATTTCCCTTGCAGTGATTCTTCCAGCAGCGCAGCCGCCCTGTGCAGCACTGGTACAGCTGGTGGTGCCCCACACCCTTGCAGTTGCACCGACAGCTTTTTCTGCTCTGTATTACAAAGCCTTCAGAGGCAGCATTGGTTACACCAGAGGATTCATAGTTTTCTGAAAGGGCAACAGCTGCCCGTGCTCCACCTGAGTGCAGCTGAAGAGTTGAGGTCTGCAGCTGAGTGAACACAGCTTTTCTACCTTATATTATTTAACAATGAAAGGGAGACAGAGGCAATATGTGACTTTAGCCAAGGTACGATTTTTCAGAATAGTTTAGGGCATGTTTTATGTTCTGCAGGGGTTTTCCATGACTTGGGGAAAGCCTAAATGTGTACTGAGAAACATCTTCAACCTTCCCATAACAAAGGCCGTGAGTGACTGCAGCTACTTAAAACCTGCCTTGGTTTCTAAGGAAGACTTTAAGGGCACTGTCAGTGGCATTAGTGCATTAAATACAACAACAGTAATCTGCCAGTAACCAAACAGACCTGGCAGGAAAGCACCACGGGTTCGTCAAACTTCAGTGAAATTAAACACTTGTTCTGTCATCTCTGTTCTTTACAAATTACTGTGCAGCCTTCACACATCTCATGCTGTTATCCCAACTGTGCACAGCAGTAAGAGCCTCTGCTGTTTATAAAACACACTCAGGAACACAGCAAGCAAATCGAGTCTTCAGCAGTGGTCAGAAGGCAACAGCCTTCACGTGCCCCACCAGCTCTCACTTCAGCCACCTCTTTCGCGTCCATTCCATTGCTCAGGCTCCACAGAACAGTTTGAGTTGGAAAGGACCTTTAAAAGTCATCTAGTCCAGCTCCCACCCAGTGAAAATGAACAGGGACTTGCTGTTTGCATTCCACCCTTTGGCTCTTCAGCAACAGACCGCAAATAAAAACTCATCAGTATTGCTTTAGCTTCGCCCCCAGCAAAGAACCTTCATGTAACTTTTCCTTGGGGCCACTTGGGTCACAGCCTGGAGCCCCTGTCTCTGAAGAGGTTTCTCCCTCTTGCATTCAGCCCAACCCACTGCTTCCAAGTCAGATTTATTGCAGCCTGCTCACAGTGTGCAGCAGTCACACAGGCACTGCCCAGACACACTGAGGCCAGACCATGCAGGGACCACCTCATAGTTCCCAAACGGAGTTACCGATCTGTGCCAGAAGACTTTATGATGACTTTTGCTGTGTTATGACACAGGTAGGGGATTTCTCAGCCCGCAGCCTGCCTGGCATTATCTCTTCACTCACCTATTTCTGTTCTCGTGTGCTTTACTCCCTCTGGTGCATTGGCTGCACCTCCAGCCACAGTGCAAGGTGAGCACATAGCAACACGGCTCAGAAGTCAGTCAGTGACACTCACTGACACTGGGAAGATTTTCTTGGGGAAAGTAAAGATAAATGCCACTTTATATCACTCGTTATAAGCTGGCAATCTATTCTTAATGGTTCTCAAGAACCTCCTGCTCATGAAATGCACAATAACGAAACCATCTTGACAAAAAGAGAAGGCATATTGTATATACTAAATGCTGCATTTTTCACACACCTAAACTGCACTCGGGTTCTAAGGGCCTGAAGTTTTAATTTCGCTCCTTGAGAACAACTATGTAACATACCTTTAAAAGTGAGGGGGTTTATTTTTAGTCATACTGGAGATAATGGAAAAAACCTCAAATCCTGTCTAAAATCTGGGAAAAAATAAGCTATGAATGTCAGAACACCATTTCCTTCCAGAAGATTACCAATGGTTTATTATTCCAAGTGTATATTTAGAATATTCCACTTTCATAGCTGCTTTAATATCAACCACATTAAAACATTTCTGATAGCTGATTGACCGCCTCCATAAGCAAATCCCAAGCTCCCACACCTGTTCCATTACACCGAGTGCTCACAGCATCCTTCCCATGTGTGCACACACACGTGGAGCCTCGGCACGTTCCTCAGGCACACAGACACTGCATGAAGAACACGTGGCCCGAAACGTCAGCTAACAAAAAAGCACACCCTGCTTTTAGAGCACTCGGCAGTGTCCCCGCAGCAGCCTGGTGATTAAAAATGGAGTTTTAAAACTCTGTGTTTCCTGTTCCTTTGGTGCTGAGCAGCTCTTGTGCCACGAGTTAGAAACCAAACGTCAATAACGCTTCTCCCTGTTTTCTGCTGTAGGTCACCTACGTGAACGTACTTTATTCCCCTGTACTTTGGGCAGACCAACTGAACATTGTGGTTTGCACCCACGTTAGGTAACACTGTCATCTTTCTTCTCTGAGGTTTTGTGGAGGTCTCAGGAACACACAGAGGACAAGAAACACCTGTGTGGTGGCTCAGCTATCCAAGCAGCATGGAAAAGGCGTTAAGAACTCGGGGGAGGGGGGGGTTTATTTTGCAAACAAAAGGAAAGTTCATTTCCTCTGTTAGCTCACCAGAGCATTAGGTGCAAAAACACGCCTGGAGCTCGTGAAAGACCTTTACTTATGTCTGAATCTACCAAAATTCTTCATAGAGCCATCTGAAAAACATTTGATTTTTCCTTTACAAAATACTACAGAGCTTTTCTGAACCGTTTCATCAAGAAGGCTGTTAATAAAAAACACACAGACCAACAGAAATTGTGAGCTATAATCAAATCTTTTGTTTGGGTTTTTTGAGTTTGGGCTTTTTTTTTCCCCATATATTTGAAGAGTATTGACAGAACAGTCAAAACTGCCTTCTTATTGCAGCAGTAGTCAACTGTCCACATGCTGACTGCCATGTAAATAAATCCAGTGAATAGCAAGTGAGCTTGGTATATTGCACACACCTGCAAGAAACCACAAGCACTTACACTGTATCTCATCTGAATGCAGTCATGGGACATTCCAACAGTTTAGAAAATAAATGGGCACAAATTCATAACTGAAGCATGATGAAGGTTTGCTTTAGAATGTAGGGAACAACAGCGAGGTGAAAACAAACACAAACGTCCTGGATGTCAGCGAATGCAGAAAGGAACAGACACTCATTGCGTGTGCCACTGGGCTGGCTCCTAACAACCCAGGGCTCCTCCACTCACTGTCTGGCCATTCTGGCAACAGACCACAACACAAATGTTAAAATAATAACACTAATAAAAATAAGTATGGATTCCGGCTTATTTTAGCCTAGATGTTCTAACAAAACATCACCATTCATTCTTTGGCATGGGATGCCTGTGTGCTCCTACTGCGTTCCTTAATCGCCTCAACATTTTATACTCTCTGCAAAGGTTAGGGCAGCAAGTTTGATCTGACTATAAGAATTAATTCCAACAATCATGTAATTATCCTGTTGCTGTAATGACAAATGCCTACACAGAACAACCCGAGATCCCTGTGAGTGCTGTGTTAATTGTTTTGGATCCAGACAGATTCCTCCAACAGTATCTTAAAACAAGTTTAGCGTTGCAAATGCAGCTCTACATCTTCTTGCTGCAAATCTACAGCTACACAAACGTCTGGGAATAAACACTGCAAGGAACTTCCCACTGTTTCTCCTGATCCCTCAATTTACCGGTCCTAAGTCCAAGTTCGTTGTTACAGAGAAGCCCTGAGGCTTCCTTCCTCAAGTCCATCCCACAAATTGCTGTTAGAGAACACTGGTTGAGGTGCAGACACTTCCAGGTATCTTACCTGTTACATGTGCGTTCAGTGGGTTTGAATCTGAAGCAGCAAGCAGTGGCATGCACTGCACTCCTAGGAGTTCAACTCTACTGATAATTAACAACTCCTGTATTAAAAACATCAAGAAAAGTCAACTGTGGTTCTGCATTTGTGCTTCAGCTTTAGTCTAGTGTACTTCTCCGCATTAATCGTGCCAGATTATTACTACTTAGAATGTAACAATCCTTTGGTGATCTACTGAAATTCTGGTTGGTTTTTGTTTGTTTGTTGTAACATTTATTAAATATTTAACCTCCTCAAATGATTTAAATTAGCACACAGAACCGTCTTGAATTCCTCCTAGCATTTCTTACCACCAGTTCTGACTTCCTATGGCAAAAGGCTGTTCCAACATCACCCTTATAGGATTTTTAGCAGCATCAAATCTTTATTCCAAACATGAGAGGGTAAGATTGATATTGAACTGAAAACTTAATGCATTCCCATAAGATGACTGGTATCACCACGCTCACTTTCTCCTTTTTCCATGTCCCAGGAAACCCAGTGGTGCCTGCATGGTAGAGGCTGCAGTACTGGCTCAACCCACGGCTCTCCTCACTGGCACAAGTTAAGAAAGAAAGCCCAACCCTTGTGAGCAGACAGCTTCTGCCTCTCCTGCACGCTTCACTGCTGAATTGTTCATCCCACAGACAAACAGGAACTGGCTTTTATGCTTGAAGGGTGTTTATATTTTGCATAATTTAGTGAAGGCCCTATCCTGCTTCCATCAAGCTCAAAAGCAAAAGCAAGCTGTTACACTTGTGCCAGAGGGAGCCAAGGATCCTCACCGACAGCCCTGACCAAAGGGCACAGGGGTCTGCCTGCCTGTCTTCATCCATTCATCAGTGTAGTAAGTAGCAGCTCCTCAGCCTACACCATGCTAAGAGAGGAAAGGGACAGGATTCGCCCCACTCCAGAAACAGATATCAAAGCACTCCTACCTCTGCTCACCTGCCCTCACCATTACCAACTTTATTTACATTGGTCAAATAACTCCTGCTGCTCCCCCAAAGCAGGGGGAAATCCTGCACCCAACTGAAATAGGTTGGAGATTCATGATCCTTGAGGTCCCTTCCAACCCCGGCCATTCTGTGATTCTGTGAAATGCCCCACTTGGAATGGGATCCATCTCTGAAAGTAGGCAGAGGGAGCAGCCCCAGGCACAGAGGGCAGCATGCACGTGCTGGATTTAACCTGCAGAGAAAAGGAAAAGAAACAAAGGGGAAGATTAGGAAAGCTCTGACTGTGAGTAAATCCGTTTTCTTTCATGTGTTCACTAATATTCTCCTGCTGCTCCGAAATATGATGCTCTAGGTTTATTCTCATCTCTGAATAAAGATGGACACTTTTCTGTGCTCAGGTAATCTGTCTGGATGTTTAATTTTCATTTACTGGAAAAAAAATCTGATACTGAATTAGATAAGAATTAGAGCTTCCCTTGGGGTGAAGCAGTTAACACAATGAAGATTTGTGACTGCCTGCAACCTGCAGTTGCAATTATATGAGTACCATACAGGTCAGATACGTTTCTTAACAACACCGAGGGCAACTCAGAGACTTCCAAACTAAGCTAACAGGTGGAATACAGTCAGCCACGTCAACCTGCCTCACTTCAGGTCTGTTATTTCTTTAGTTCCATATTATATCCATTCTCTGTGGTCTATGAAAATTTCAGTTTACAAAAGCACACAGCATTAATTAGTTGTTAACATGTGGTTTCAACCCATGTTTATTTTATGGATATTAATCTGAAGTTAAGTCAACATGAAACTAAAAAGCATGCAGCATTTTCAGGGGCAACACAAGGCTGAGTCTCCTGACAGCTGAGGAAAATGCAAACAGCCGTGGGACTGGGAAAAAGTTGTGTGCAAAAACCAAGGTTGGGGAAGGCATGGCTGGAGCTGGTAATTTGTTATGGATCAGTTTATTGCAGAAACAACAGATACAGGCTGCACATTTCAAACACTGCTACCAGAACTCCCACCTCTGCTGCTTTACTTGGCAAAACACGCATAGGGTCTCTTCCAAAAGACACTTTAAAGAAAGAGGCGGCAACCAAAAGCTCCCTCACTGTGCATTTCCATAAAGCACACCCACCATTTCTTCAAGAAATGAAGTGCTGGCCAACGAGTTCATTCCACTGAGCATGCTGAGGTACAAGAAGAGTAAAGGAACTCAGCCCAATGGCCTGACCTGGTCAGAGGGCTCTGAACCTTTTGGCCCCACTCAGTCACAAAATTCAGTTCCACTGCCCCAAGCGATGACTCTGTGACCCGGGAGGACAAAAGAGCTGAAAGGGCACAAGGTGCAGATGTGTCCCAGCCACAACACTGTCTGAGCTGTCTCAAAATTGCACGAAGTCATTTAAAAAGCAACAGATGTCTTTTTTGATCTTCCGTTTATAAGGATTTGGGGTGCAATTTGAATTTAACACCATTTTTAAAAGAAGTTTAAAGTGACTTTTAAATCGAAGCTGCAGCATTAAATAACCAGCAGGGACAGAAACAAGTGAATCACAATGAAGTCACCAACAGGCAGACCCAGCACTACTGCAGACGCACAGCTGTGGCAGAAAGACATCAGTTTGTAAAACACACCATGTGGAACTCTGGTACTTGTTGGAATGGGATTACTTCCAGAGATGGTGAGGGCATCTTTGGCACAGCCATAACCACAACTTGAGGTACCCTCTGTAGTCCAGAAACAGTTTTTGAACTCTTGAGCTGAACCTCTAAACCTGACATTCTTGTTTTGAAAGAATTACCAATCTGTGCTGATGTGGAAAACCTCTGAATTCTTTTGCCAGCTGTTCTATAACATCACAATCCTTAAATACACTTTTGCTGCTTCCAGTTGTAGTTCACATATGTTAAGTACAGTGTAATTACCAACCAATATTTGACTGCAATGGTACTCCAAGGGCTGGAGGTAATTGTGTGTGCAGAGCCAGATGCACAGATTGGAGTCTGCCAGTGGAGCAGAATAAGCATAAAAACTCAAGTGTTTCAGAACAAAGCAATTTTTGCAGCACTTAATTGCTGTTTGATGGAACACTAAAACAATGCAATCATCGAGAGATGCCTGCACATAAGAGGCTTCTCTGTGAAGAGCCATTCCTTAAAAGACACACGCTAACTTCTAAGAGGTTTTCCTAAAGCCTTCTCACGTTGGCCTGTTATTCAGTAACCACATTTTCAGAAGACTGGTTTTGTTTTTTAACATCCCCCCCTGAGCGTCTGATAGCAGCTTATTTCAAATGCAGGACTGGAGGACTCCAAGCACAACTGCTGTCATCACATCTATTAATTTCTTTAACTCCCTGACCATCTCCCATCTTCCAGGTGCACCCACTGAGATGCTCCTACCAGCAAAGAACGAAGCTGCCTGGAAGATTCCTGGTTATTTTCACAAAGCAAACACACCCTAAGTAACACCAGTCCCAACACTTCTCATCCAGTCAAAAAATCAGCTGTGCTGAGTAGTGCATTCCCATCTGGTTGAATACATTCATATCTTCACTATAAAAATATGATTCAATCAAATGCAGCTTTACAAGCTTGTTATAAACCAGCAATGTGACAATGCAAAAAGTACTTATTTTCTGTTTCATTAAGAAGTAATTCCCTCAAGCATTAGGAAGCAACGTAAAATCTTTTAATATATTGAGCAATTTCATTAAGTTCTCTGTAAAGAAAGAAAAACACAGCTTGAAATACAAAAGCTTTTAAAACATGACAGGGAATTTCACTGGGAAAGTAACAAATTATGCAAGTCACAAGCCTATATTATGCATTAAAATGTTGGCTGAGACACTAAACAACCATAAAAAGTATTTCTATAAAAACTGATTGAAGATGCATTCTTCATGAACCAGTGAGCAAACATTTACTCTTCTCAGATTAATATTAGCAACTTAAAAAAATAAAAAAAAAAGCATTCCTCTGATGAGTGATGTAAGTTCCCAAACAGAATTCATGTATTGCAGTTCTTTCCACAGAACACCTCCAAGTAAAGCAGCAGCCAAGTGCTGCCTGGAAGGATGAAACAAACAGAAAAACCTCTGCAAAGCAGGCTCCCATTCCCAGAATTTTATTTTTTCCTGCTTTTGAGGGAACTGTTGTGAACTCTCACTCTCTTCTGCACAGAAGAAGCAATCTTCATGGACACCTTCTTTGCCAGGGAGCGTTCCACGGCTCCGGGCCTCCACAACAACAGCTGGGCATCCTCTCCTCCTGTCAACAGCGACTCCTCTGCCAGGTTCCAGCAGAAAGAGCGAACGGTGGCAGAGTGCCCCCCTGGAAGGGTACCCACCAGGCTCAGCCCAGCAGCGCTGCAGCTTATCAGGTGAACGTCTCCTGTTGCCGTTCCTCCGATCAGAAAGAGTCTGTCAGCCTTTTCATGGTACATCCCTCCTACCAGGTAATTTAAGCTGCCATTTTCAATGCAGACTGAGTCTCTGGCGTCCAGAACACGCAACAGCATTATTGGTTCTTCAGTATCTAACTGAGCAAGGTCCCACCAACAAAATCCCTCATCATGAGTCGTGCAGTAGATCTGTTCATAATCTTTCCCAGACCAGCCAATAAAACTTACTGATGAATCTGAATTACAGGTTGATATCAAAGCATCATCTTCGTTGTCCTTGTTAATGTCAAACACATTCACCAAGCCGTCAGTCGACCCAGAAACGACCAAACTGGGTTTGACAGGATGAAAACAAATCTTAGTGACATCATCATTGTGACTTTCAGAGTACACTCCCAAAGGTTCCCTCATTGTGCTGGCACAGTCCGTGCTGCCTCTCGCATCCCAAAACACCAGGAATGTATCCGTTTCTACTTTTTCTGTTCCAGCACAAATCATGAGATCACTGCAATTGAGATCAAAACTGATAAACACGTTGGAAGGATAGCCACTAAATACCTGCGCAGCTTTCTGAGTTGCTAAACGAATATCCCAACATTTTACTGTACCATCACTGCACGCAGAGAACACCAAGCTGTCACACGCATGTGCAAATCTGACGCCGTTAAGTGTCCCAGGACAGCTACTGTACTCCCGCAGGAAGTTCAGTGTTTCTCTGTTATAGACCCTAATGGATTTATTGGAACATGAAACTGCCACAAAGCAACTGCTTTCAGACTGAGCAGATCCGGAGATGTCTATATCCAGCAGGTAAGCAGGCTCCTCACTTAGCACAGAGCGCTTTGCTATGCGCAGGCAGGCAAACTGCTCCTCGATCTTCTCAACTGCAGACATCTCAAACGCTGTTCTTGAAGCTATCGGGAGTCTGCAGTAAATAAAATATGAGGTTTAATGATAAAAGTCTGAAATAACATTAGCTTTACATACATAGGTATGAAAAGGTTTCCTGCACAGAGCTTTTGCATGAAATCAAAAGTCAGTCATCCTGAAGTCCTGCCTACCATTTTATTTACAGAAACAGAGAACCACCCAGAGCTTCCCCCAGCAAAGGAGTTCAATCTCCTCTGATCGTAAGCACTGCATCACATAATCCCCTCAGAGGATTAAATAGGCTGCTTGTGAATGCTGTGAAAGTCGTTTAGCTACATTTGCTTTGTTGTTTTGTTGTTGCTGGTTTTGTCTCTCTTGTAAGTAAATATTAAAGCAACATCCTCTGCAAGTGGAAGCACAAGGAAGGCATGGTTCCTACCTGAGGAATAACTTCTGCTCTAAAAGGCTGCTTGCAGTCACAGCCCACAAACAGTTGTATCACTGCAGCTGCAGGAGACTTCTGGGCCCAACTTCTGCATAGGCAGAGAACAAGGCAAAAAATGGAGTAGAACTACAGCCTGAAAGAGACAAATGAGATACCTTTTGCAGCTATTCAGGTGCTCAGTGACACATGTAAGCACCCATTCAGCACACCACAGGCTACCTAAACAGGCGTGAGGACAGCACCACAATTTGGGAGAACTAAGCATTTTTCAACAGTTCTCCCAAGAACCAAAGCCTTTCCCGAGGCTCTTAAATAAAAACATAGCCCTGGCTCTTATTGCAACTGGGGAAAAAAAAGCCTTTCCTTCCAAGGCAATTTTTCTCTGGCATTATTGAATTATTCTAGAAAAACAGTATTTCAGCGATACACGTGGATATTTAAATTTAAAGGAGATGTTTACCATCAAAATCAACAGGTGGTTTTGGTCAGTTCACGAACTTGGATCACTTTTCAACAAATAAAAGGTAGTTGGGATATAGAAAGGAAGCACAATCATCCACACGGACAATTTCTCTCTCACTTACAGGCTCAATTAGACTTCTCTTCTGTGTTATAAAATGAATTTCGGGGGAATCACAGCAGTTCCCGTGGGGGTCAGCTCTCCTCACTCCAATGAGACTTCAGCTACAAGGTACGGTTTAGTGGCTTGTGGTTGCAAGGGCAGTGGGAGGACAGTTGCACGAGATGATCTTGTAGGTCCTTTCCAACCTTGTGATTCTATTATGGATGTTTCAGTTAAGGCAGAGAAGGGTAAAGCAATACTCCAAAAATGGACTTATTTCCTTACAAAGTAGGCCAGCACCCAATGCCAGTGGTCACACACATGGAAGGATTCTTTCTGGAAAAATCCAAATAGAAACCAAAGAGAAATCAGGCAGGCCCAAAATGCAGGAAAATACCATCATGTCTTCCCAGCTGTCCCATCAATTTTTTTTCTCCTAATTCCTCAGGCTGGATTTTGGGAAGGGGATGAAATGAGCAAAGTGCTGCGTACTCAATGGCTTTGGCTCATTATTTTAATGTTCCACAGGAGGCCAGCAACAAAAGAAAAGTTGCTATGACAAAACTGCATTCTGCTTGTTTTTAACATGGTGTTGTTGGTAGTTTCAAGGCCTTGCCTTCCCTGCTCTGTTTGGTACATACAGATACACAACACACCATGTGATAAACGAGCAAATTCTTAACAAACAGCTTAAGCAGACCCACTCGTACAAGCTTAATTCTCAAGTCACAAATAATCTAAGCTATCTGACCTGGTAATATCCTGACAAAAGGTCCCAGGTTAATCATTTACATCAAAGCAACCTTTCAGAACACATCTACAAGTCATTTTTGCCATCAAATGCAGACATCCTGTGGAAACTCCTTTCCCCTCCAAAAAGAAGAATTTCAACATGTTTTCTGGCACTGTGTACAGCCCTACCCACAGAGCCTGCTTCTTACATACTCAAACGGGACAAGACTTCAGTAGAACCAATATAAAAGCAGACAGCTGTTGGACGCTGCTTGCTCAACTGTGTGCAAGGCTAAGGCCCAATTGTAACCAGGTTTGTTGAACTTCATTTCTGAAAAATCACCAGCTGTGAAAAGGTAGAGACTGCAAAAAAAAACACTTCATTCAGATTTAATAATACTCTCAGGGAAGTAAAAGGAGCCCAAGGTAGTGCCTCAGCTTTCACTCCCAAATGATACAGGTGGAGATGTTTTACACTAGCAGAAAACACCGCATATTTTCCAGATAGATCTGTAACATACATCATCAGGAAGGTGCAGCCTTCCCTTCTACTTCCCAGCAGCAGTTAAGGAGCTGCAATACCACATTTGATGGCAGCAGGGTTTTTTGCTAAAAACTCAGTAAAAATATCTGTCCCAGTAAGACGGTCTTCAGGCTATTATGAAATTGGGATTGAAGGTTATATAAACAATTTGTGCTCCAGCGTCAGGGTGTAGCTGCCAGCCCTTCCTTTTCAGGAGGGGAAGTCACTGTTGTACTTTGATGGGAAAGTTTAAATGGCAGGAATAGGATCTGTGTTAAATTTATGGGACAAATAGGAAACAATGGTCTTCCAAACACAATAGAAGATCACTAAGCATTGGACCGCTGCCACCTCGAAAGCACATGCTGCTCTGCACTGCAGAAGTGAAGCGCTTTTGGTTGGGCACTCCTCAACTTTGACAACCCAGGTATCCACTTCGTTACGGCCACCAGGCACCCAGTGCCAAGTAAGCTGCTTGGAACGCTTTGGTCATGGCACAGGAGCCACTCACAGCCATCAGTGCAGAGACCTGCCTGCGAGAACCTGACACCAACCGGGCGGGGGGAAGGAAGCTTGCTCTGGAACTGCCTCTGAAGAAGTGACAGAGATCCCTTGGGAAGCGAAGAGGGCTTGGCTGCTGCTACCTCTTTTCTTTAGGATATGCAGTTGTTGGTAGAACTCAGGATCTTCCTCTGTTCCAGCTCACAGTAGCCCAAGGTTTGGATCTGCAAATGCAGTCTCAACACTGGTCTAGTATTGAATGTGGAGGTTGGCCCTACCTGTGGCAGGGAGGTTGGAGCTTTGATGATCCTTGAGGTCTCTTCCAACCCGAGCCATTCTCTGATTCACTCTATGAACACAGACAAAAAGCAGGTGATGTCAGCGTGATAGGAAACACCACGGCCTGGATTACACAGAAGTATCTGGTCCAAGTGTCTGGCTAACACCACTCACTTTCATCTTCAGCAACTGCCACTCTTTGCACGGAGCTGCATCTCCCACCACCATCCTCATCAAGGTGAAGCCACCTGTTACAAATCAGCCCTACTTTACGTGATCCTCCAACCTACAGCTGCTTGATCTCTGCTCTGCATTTACAGTTCTCTGTAACCTCGGAGCATCTCTTTGATATCGCAGCACACCATTAATGGTAAGCTTCTCTGCATCTTGAGAACTCAAAATAGATACAGTCAACTGAAACAGCCTATAATATTTTGACCTCCAGGATGCCCTACAAAGTTCTGTTAAAAAGAAATAAGCTTGGTTTTTAGAACAGAAGGCACGAAGGGGCAGGAGTGCCAAAGAGGAAGAAGTTTGCAGGTGCTGTGGTTATGCATTTCTCCCCAGTGGAGCATGGAAACAAACATACAGCAAGACAAGACGCAAGCAGTCACAGGTGCCCAAAGCAGCCTTCCATTGGCAGAGAAAGGAAAGGTAAGCACCTACGAGCACAAACTAAATGTTTCATTTTGCCTGAGCATATACTGCTGTGCTCTTTGTGTATTACTCCAAACCTCACAGCCTAAACTCAAGCCAGCAGGCTCGTGAGTCCTCTCCATTGCAGAAAGCTTCTCAAAAAATAAAGCAGCAATTCCTAAGTTATTCCTTCTCATTGTGCACATTTGCCAAATCACGTAGTTCTCAATTCCAAAAGGGAACATTAGCTCTGCAACATACAGCAAAGTAAAATCACCTGTGAAAAAATACCACAGAAATGTGGCAGAAATGGATCTTTGCCTCAAAGACTTGGTCAGTGCCTGAGAGGAACTTGTAAGAGAAGAGAAACGAGTAATAAAAAAAGAAAACGACCTGCAGATTTGGCAATCTTCTCTGCAAAGGTCAAATACCAGAAATAGCAAGGGATCTGAACAGCAGTAGATGAAATCTTGCGCTGTTCTACAACAAACAATGCGAACAGACCCTCCCTTTATTTTCACAACTATCAGCAGTGCAAGAACAAGTTAAGAATAAACCTGAAGCTCTGGATAGTGGAAAGCAATCCACGCATGCAACATCGTGTGCTCAGCATTTTAAAACAAAAACAAAGAGCAGAGTTGGTTGAGGAGAGCACATCAGTGCTGCACCTCACTAATGCGAAACGCCTTTGGAGACCTCTCCTCATTGGCACCACTTCACAACAGAAGATGGATCAGCCAAATGATCTAAGAACGGAGGTGAAGCACAGCAATCCCATCAGGCACGCAGAATTCCTACAGGATACGCACTGCTGTACTTGGTTTTGTTATTGTACCGAAGCAGTAAGATGAGGTGTTTTTCCAGCATTCCCATAAAGGCATTTTTAGGGCAAAGAGGACAGCATCTCACCAAGCACACAGGAAGGGAATATTGTGCACCAGAGGCTAAGCTAAAGTGCAGAGATGAGACGTAAACTGCCAAGAGAATTATTTCATGCTTTTAAATCGCTACGTCTTGTTTCCAAACAAAGCACAGCAAGAATAAAGCTCCTCGTCTCCTCAATTTGGCATCTGTAGCACCGAGAAAAATACATTGAGAAAGCAGACGGGAGGAAAAAAAGATAACAGCACTGCCACAACAAATTCTGCAAAGAGAACAAAACCAAGCAAACAGAGATAATAAACTGTCTGCATTCCATTAAATGAATTTAATCCTACCAGCACGGAAATGGCCTTAGCAGCACTGATTAGAGGAAAAAGTACAAATCAAGGAGAGAACAAAGGGAAGCAGTCACAGGAGGTTGTACGTAATTGTGATAATGCTCACATTATTAATTTTAGAATCACAGAATGGCATGGGCTGAAAAGGCCCACAGTGCTCATCCAGTTCCAACCCCTGCTGTGTGCAGGTCGCCAACCAGCAGCCCAGGCTGCCCAGAGCCACATCCAGCCTGGCCTTGAATGCCTGCAGGGATGGGGCATCCACAGCCTCCTTGGGCAACCTGTGCCAGTGCCTCACCACCCTGTGTGAAAAAATTCCTCCTAACACTGAACCTAAACCTCCCCTGTCCCAATTTAAAATCATTTCCCTTGTCCTATCGCTATCCACCCTTGCAAACAGGGTTCCCCTCCTGTTTATATACACTCTCTTCAAGTACTGGAAGGCCACAATGAGGTCTCCCCACAGCCTTCTCTTCGCCAAGCTAAATAAGCCCAGTTTCCTCAACCCTTCATCACAGAAGAGCTGCTCCAGCCCTCTGCTCATCTCAGTGCCCTCCTCTGGACCCGCACCAAGAGCTTCACATCCTTGGACTGGGGGCCCCAGACTTGGACGCAGCACTGCAGATGGGGCCTCACAAGAACCAAGTAGAGGTGGACAATCGGCTCCCTCTCTCTGCTGGCCACCCCTTTTTAATTGCAGCCCAGAACACAGTTGGCCTTCTGAGCTGCAGGCACGCACTGCTGGCTCTTAGCTTCAAATCTAAATCAAAGGTATTAAAATACGACGCTCAGATAGCTGAGCTTCCTTCTCCAGAACAAGTTTCAAACCTTCTTTCAAACGGATTGTAGGGCTTTCTTGTTTCTAATCTCTGCTCATCCGCTGCCACACACACGACAGACCTACAAATTGAGGGGCAGCCACTAAGTCCTCTGCCACCTAAATCCAACTCAGACATGAAAGCGGGGTGTGACTGAGCACTGATTGCCGAAGGAGGTTTCCCAGCAGTGACCTCACCAGGTTGGCGCTGTAATGACACCCACGTGCTGGGGCGGTCCAGCATAAAAGAGGAGGGCACAGAAATAGAAGGATACCGGGCTTTGCTCTTAGGGCTGCTCCTAAAAGAAGAGGAGAGAACCTACAGCAGACACATTCCTACCTCATAAAGACAGGAGATTGCACAGGAAAAGTCAAATTAGAGATAGAGATAAATTAGATTGGAGAATGGCTGCTGGGAAACCCGTCCTAGCAAGGCCCTCAACTTCCAAGAGTCTGCCTGCAAAGCCACCACAGCCAGCCAGCCTCAAACCATGAGAATCCAAGTCTCAGCCTTCTGCATTTGTGCTTATCTCACACCACAGAAGAATCCTTTCCTTTCTCTTATGAGCACTTCCCATTGCAGACATCACATCGACCTCGATTTTTGTAGCCGCAAATGTAGAACAGGAGAGAAAGAACTAATTATTCTCTCAATTACACAGGACCAGCAGCAGCTGGAAATCAGATGTGTAGGGTACAGTACACTACTGGGTGCAGTATTAACTCTGCCTCCATTCACAATTCCACAATACAGTCGTTATCAGCTACAAGCTGATATCAAAGCTCTCTCTGAACCTGCCTCCTCACTAACAGCATTTTCTTTTGTTAGGAGAATCAGCAAGGTGTTCAGCTTGGCACTAGGGCTGAGATGGCCTGCACACTGATAAGGAAGACAGAATTGAAGCTATTTATCCGAATGGGAGGCTGGACTTGAACCAGATGTTGGCCTACAAACACTGTCTAGCCTGATGATGGCCAAGCAGCCAGGAAGCTGCAACATTTACTCTTTAGTTTCTGAATGTGTGTGCTACTGGACCAAATGCAAAAGGCACAGGAACACTGCAATCCGTGACCACAAAGTGCTTCAAGGTCCCTTCAAGCCTGGGATCACAATGCAAGACTCCTAACAGCAGTGACCTGCAGTGCCATTTTGAATCAAAAGAAAGCACCACACAGATGGGCAACCCCCAGGATCCAGCCTACAGAGGAAGGCAAAGAGGAAGAATTACTTATGCAGCTGCATGAATAATTCAGTGGCTCTGAAATAAGAGTATTTATTTCCTTTGAATTACACACTGCTACTCGGTATCAACATCCCCATATAAAAAAAAAAAAAATGGAAATGTGGAGACTCTTCCCACAGACTGGTAAATTTTGCTGAAATTCTTCCAAGGAATTTATTTCTACATCACAGAGGAAGCCTGGGAAACTTCAGCCTAAACTTAGCAGCAATCAGACTAAAAGGATACAAAGACACTTAGCTACAGCAGGAAAAATAGCTCCTGCCATCACACACTGGTGCCAAATTACCTATAATGAGATGAAATGTTTTATTTACCAGGAGATTTCAGAAGTTCTTTCACAACAGTAATTTCACTTAAGCACCCTCATTCTTCAAAACAAGGCTATTATGTTTTCAGGACGTTTTTCTTAAAAACCCAAGCCTAACTCAGTACTGCAGTTCACATCTCCACTAGGAGTGCTGCTGGGAAGCTGATAAGACATTCTCAGCTAAGCCCAGACGTGGCAGCTCTGCTTTCCAAAGAACATTCCTGTGCCTGACCACTTCTAACTGCACCAACATCCCCAGTTCCAGACGTGTTATGCAAGGAAAACAACTGCAAAACCCAAGTGGAGGAAACAGCATTGCTGTCTTCCCCTCATTTGCTTCCCCAGGAATGTGCAAGTTCCAAAGGTATCCCCACCAATCACACCCTGCAACATCCCCATTTGATATTTAGCTAATGCAGAACATCACCACATCAACATGATTTGTCAGAGCCTCTCCAGTATCAAAGCAACAGTGGAAACTGGAGATCCCTGTGTGCCCCTGACAGTTCACAGACGATGGGTTTCCAAAACATGCTCTTTGTGCACGACAGCTGGCAGGCTCTGGTGAACCATTACCATGCCCTAAGCTCGCTTTTCAGTGCTTCACAGCAGACAAAAGGAAAAAGCAGCCATCTAAGCGACAGCAGTAGGATGAAAAGGCTGAAATAAAAGTTTTTAGAGCTATGTCCACTCGATTCTGTTGAAGGGAATTCACCTTTCAGCTTCCATACAAGACAGTGAGGCACCAAGTCTGCACGCACTGTAGACATGTGAGGCATTCTCTTCAGCTCTTTGTTTTCAAGGGCCTTTCAGCAGTGTTCACACTTGACCCAGACACAACACTCCTCTACTGCTATCACCAATGCACTACACAGACATAAAAAGGGAAAAGTGATTTTTTAACACTCAAATACACGTTGATTTTGCACTGTACTGCACTGAAAGTTCACATTCTCTATGAGAGAGACTTCGGTCTCAGTTGTTAGAAGCAGAATTGAGGAAGGGAAGGACAAAATAAGTATTTACACATTAATACTCCTTCACTTTCTGAGCAAGAGACCTATCGTATGTGGCAACACAGCCGAGCCCTGCTGGCAAATCCTAACCAGAGCTGTGTGCTTTTGTTAGCACCCACAAAACATCAAGGATCTGCAGTGGATCCACAAAGACTTTTCCAGTATCTTCAGCAGACAGCACTGCTTCAAAACAAGACAAGTTGAAGTAAGGCAAAAGTTTCATGCATCTTAATACCCCTTCTCTCCAGCCCTATTTGTTCTCAGTGCTTCAGTCAATCCAAATTTCACAGGGTCACAGCAGGCTGCCAGAGGGACTCGTTGCTGAAGCCAATCTCTTGATAACTAAACCATAACGTAGCCCAGAAGACCGGTTAGATGATCCAGGGAATTGACTGTTTATTTTACAAGACGTAGCTGGGATGCTTTGCCTTATATAGCTTGGCAGAGACGGAGACCAAGAGGGCATATGATTACTATCTACAGATACATCAAAGGAATAAATGCAGGGGAAGGAGGGGGCTACTCAAGAACAATACTGGCACAGTTTAAGACTATAAACTGACCATAAAAAAGATTGGAGCAGAAATTACAATCAAGTTTAACTGTTAAAACAGTTCCCGGTTGGAACAGCAGGGGCAAAAGCTCTGATTTCTTTATCTGTTTCTGCAACCCCGTCGGCCTGGCACCCACAACTGTCCCTGCACAGCCAAGAACAGACAGGAAAGCTGACTGAAAACCAAGCCACTGTGAGATAAGCGGGCTCAACGCTTCTTTCTGGAAGACACCAAACTGGCAGCCAGACAGCACACGGCACAGCAGCTCTCACTGCATGCTGTCACAAGCAGAACTAAGCCCGCTTCCAGCCTGTGGTGGTTTCCTCTCCCCACACCCTTGAAATCACGGGGATAAAAACCTAACAGCTTGAGCGTGCTCCTACTGCATGGCCACATCTTCTTATAGAGGCCAAGCGGAAAACGCGATGTGTCCCCCTCACATCAGAACGTTTAATTGACGCTGCCAGGAGAGCTGGGGGCTCGTCCTGCAATGACTGCAGCTCTCAGCACCACAAATCGCCAGCAGCGTGGCTCAGATCAATCACACGCACAAGGAACTCAGTGAGCTGACGGTACCAGCGTGCAAGGGACAGAACGTGTCATTCCACACTCAGCCCACTTGATGTCACTAATGACCAGCAGTCAGACAGCTCAACCAACCTGCTCAGAGCTGACGTCTGACACAACGGGAAGACTCAAAGAACAAGAAATCGTTATAGATTAGCAGATTTTTAAAGGAAATATTAATGTGAAATTGTTAAAATGAGCATTCCGTAGCTGGTATTTGTTTCCTTCCACCACTTACAAAATATTCTGATTGTCGAAAACGCTTGAACATCCCTAAAAGCAGGACAGAAAATGCATTCTAAGCTGGAACTTGTAAAACAGCTTAACCAAACCACTCAGTATTTGTCCAGCAATTCAAACCACTTTTCTTAGCACTACAGATTGACTAACTTTGTTTTTCTGGTGAGCTATGTGCCCCTATTACTTGTTTGCTTCTGAAACACTTTGTCAGAACTCCCACTAAAATATGAGCTAAGAAAGAAATACTTCATAGAAACATTTAATCCAAACTACTGAAATTTAAGCTGAAGGTTAGATTTCAGCATCAGACATCTCCCAGTCTAAAGCTTCATCTACCAAATAAACAACTTTGAATATACTGTTTCATAATTCTCCTTTCTCCCGTTTGTTTCCAGGCTAACAATGCTCTGTGGTTGGTCACATTCATGCAGTTACCTTAGCTATTTAACCAACCCTACAGGGAATGCTCTGAGCTTCTTTACAGAGAGCACTGAATGCATCCCATCTCTGCACACCGACTGTGAGTCAGCAAAGCAGCACTCACAGAATGGCCAGGGTTGGAAGGGACCTCAAGGATGATGAAGCTCCAACCCCCTGCCACATGCAGGGCCACCAACCTCCCCATTTAATACCAGCCCAGGCTGCCCAGGGCCCCATCCAACCTGGCCTTGAACACCTCCAGGGTCAGGGCATCCACAACCTCTCTGGGCAGCTGTTCCAGCACCTCACTACTCTCTCTGTAAACAACTTCCCCCTGACATCATCCTACTTGAACCTTCCCTCCCTCAACTTGAAACCATTTCTCCTTGTCCTGCAGTTATCAACCCTTTCGAACTGTTAATAGAGCTCCTCTCTGCTGCAGATTCTGCCACGGGCAAGCACGAAGGTGGTAACAGCTGAGAGGAAGGGAAAAGGGAATGAAAAGGAGGCAACAGGAGGAAATAAGCGAGGAGGACACACCAAGAATTTATGTAACCCTTCTGTTAAAGGAAAAGAGCACAGCAACAAGATAAGGAGAAGGAGGTAATAAAGAAGTCTGTAGTGTGTCAGGGTGAACTTTAAAGAGGGCAAAGGCATGCCGGAAGCTGAACTTCCTAACCTAAACAGCTCACGCAATGGTAGTGCTCCCACACGGAAGCCCACACTGCTGTAAAGATGCCAGCGCAGGCTCTGACGGCTCTCGCCTGCCTTCCGCTGACCATCCTGCACATCCCAAAACGCACCCATGTCCAAAAGCGGGCACGTCCGTGTCTGGCCCAGCAGCCCCTGCGACAGCAGTGACAGAGCTGCTGCCATCGCACAGCAGCCACAGATGACACAGCCCAGCTCCCCCCAGAAGCACCGGAACTTCACAGCAGACTTGGGGCCCAATAAACGTACAACCCTAGGAGACAACGAACTCGGAATCACACAGTTACAACCGATTCCATTCCTTATCGTAACCCGGTGTTTTCCCTCACGCACCCCCTACCCAGAGGCCGCACGCCGCTCACCTCAGCCCGGCGCCACGTGCGCCCCGCCCGCTACAAGTCCCGCCCTCAGAGCCCTCCCCTGCCGCCCCATTGGCTGCTCCTCCCGCCCCGCCCGCCATAAACTCCGCCCCAAAAGTAATCCCCTGCCGTCCCATTGGCTGCTCCCACCGCCTTGCCAGCCGCCATTTTACCTCCTCGGCGGCAAGGGAGGAAGTGACGAACCGGAAGGGGCGGTGCGCACCGCAGCGGCCTAGTCCCGTTGCCATGGCACCGCCGCCTTTCTACCAGTTAAAGTTAGATTGGTGGTCTTCACCTCAGCGCCCATCCCCCCCCGCCCCCCCACCCCAACCCTGTAAGTTACGATAAGTAATGATATTCCCAACCCCACAGGTTAAGGCTTAGTTTTTACTAAATACTTTTTTTTCCTCCATCACCAGCCTGGAACTACATTTGCTCCCACAATCACTTTTAAAGCCAAAACCTAAGCATTTGCACTGATCTCATGTTTTTTCTGGCAAGGTAAGGCAGCTTTATCTAAACCAGAAAAACATGACCACATCATGTGGGTAATTAGCACAGAACATCATCGAAACCCATGCAAACCACATAAAACACTCCTGCAGTTTAACAGACTTAAAGCTGACAGGTAAAGCGAGCAGAGCTTCATCCAGAAGCTAATTCAAAGCACTGACATCTCAGCTGCTTCCCACTTGTGTGGGAAACCTTAATTCTACAGGCTCCAAGTAGTGTCGCTATCACCACAGCTAGCTGAGCACCTAGCAACACTGCAGTATCGTGATGAGCAGAGAGAGCCCGTCTCTGTGATCACCTCAGTGCTGCAGAACGATCAACTCGTATTTCACAGACACGCTGCTGATTCACCTAGACTGCAGCTTAAAGACAGCTTGCTAAATTATTGATTAGAACTAAATTTAACACTTATTTGCATTTGTGAGGAGCCGCAGGCACACAGTTCCCAGAAAGCTACCTGCCAAGCAGGTATCCCAGAGGACCGACCTGTTCACCAACTGCCATGAAGAAACACCCTTGGTTTTCTTTTTCCCTCTATAATTTTTTTTTTCCTGAAATACAAAAGCACATGTGACAATAAAAGCACAAAGAGCCAAATTACCTTCCCAGTGTTTTTGCAGTTAAATGCCTTCCATAAGTCTGTCACCCAGCACTACAAGCACTGCTCAGATTAGCAAGTTTTTCTTAAGGTTTCAAAATGAAATCTGTTTACATTAAAGAAAACACTGAATTTAATACAGTAAGGCTGTATTGTAAGTTTTGACAATACAATGAAAGATATTTTTAGCTGACAGTTTCATATCTGAGTTTCCCAGGGTGATCAGTATTGTCACAAGCTCAACAAATACCTTCTGTTCATAGTCCACATAGTGAAAACAGCTGCAAGATCAACTGGAATGACATAGTTCTACAGCCACAGATTTGGCATTCAGTACTGCCAGATGAATCCAGCCCTATTAACCAAATACAAATTTCATGATGGTACACCAATGCTGCTGAGTCACAGCGTGTGTTTGCTGGAAACATCTGTAAAATTCATCACAAAAATTGCACGACTGCCTCTGGAGATCTCTTAACTCTGGACAGTCAGTTCACAGACAGAACTTGAATACATTTTTAGAAAGGAAACTCTATGAATCCCACCTTAAAAGACAGAGTAGCTACATAGACAAATCTGAGTTTCAGTGTTATGTGCTCTGGGACTAAGGTCAAGTACTCACACAGCAGATGCTCTGCAACAGTAACTCCTTGCTGTGCGCCTACACAGTGCCATCACATAGGTTGCAACACAACCATCCTCAACTATGGCCAGAAACTTCTAGCTGCTGCTCTAATACACCATAAATATTTCTGGTATCTGGCTTTTCAACCTGCTCTCAGGTTGTGTTGTGCCAAATGCAGGTCAGCAAGAACTGCTTCTTCCTCTCACAGCAAAGTTAAATTTAAAAGAGGGAGAGAGAATAAAAGCTCCGTTGTTTTTAGAGTCATTTTATGTCTAACTTTCAAAGTAGAAAAATATTCATATGCAGGTAAAATAACTTTTTTCATAAATAACATTGGTAGGGCTTGATAACAATCTGAACATCACTTGCTGCAGTTTTAACTCGCACTACTCAGTCAAGATCTATCAAATCAGGCAGTGGCACGCAAAGTACTTCACTATTTAATTAATCTGATGTACAGGGAGAGCTTTCAACTTACAGGCTTCTTCACAGTTTTTTTGCCTCATACAGAATCTTCTTCCATGGCACATCGCTCCAGCATGCGAAGATTTATCTGGTAGTGTATTTTAGCCACCTATGCCAACTTGTACAGTAAATCTGCAGTAAATCTGCATATGCACGAAGTGTTACATATCTGGGATCAATGAATATAGCTCCATCCACAGACTTCCTACAGCTGACATACCAGAAGGCAATGGGATTCTCTAGGGTTGATCTAAAACGTCTTCAAAAATTACATCTTACTGGACTGTTTCAGTTTGCAGTTTTTGCCTGTTTGATACGAGGGTGTGTGGGTCACTTCTCTATACCATTTTTTTAGTTAGACCTACAGAACTTGAAAGAAGATGTAAAATGAGGCAAATTTATTGTCACTGTGATTATCAAGGTCCTGAATTACCGAAACTCTAATTATATACAACAATAGAGGATGGTTTGACTGCAAAGTCAGACTGCTTGATAAAGACACCATTCTGTAGAGTTCAGCTCCGTGCTGCCAGCTTGTGACCTCAGAGAAACAACACTAACTTCAGTATCCTATAGTAAAAGCTGCATCTCTCATCTTTTCCAGCATGAATTCTTTGTTAGTAACATTTCTCATGATCTGCACAGGTTGTCAGTTTAAGACTTCATAGATGACCCTACTGAACCCAGAATTAGGCCACACAACGTGGGCTCATCCTCAGCTATTTTCTAACCCTCTCTAAAAGTCTAGCAGATATTCCTACCACAGCTCAAGTATTTGAAATAGACTGCACGTAGGTATTTGTCTTCCTGCCTTTTAACAGGAAACCCACTTTGGGTGCAAGTGTGGAGGTTTGTTTTGAACTGGCTGTTCTGTTATTGGCAAAATGTTTTCCCTGAAGAAAAAAAGATCAAAGTGGAAGCAACACTAGAATCTTCCATCTAATTAGTAACCAGAGACCACTCAGAGGGCTCACCTGATAGCATTCTCAGATTGGTTTTTTTTTTTTTTTTTTCCATTTGTACAGAGACTAAAAAGGATGGCTCACCACTCAGCCATTTCCTTTCTTCCTGGCTTCCTCCTTGTCAAGCTGTCAAGCGTGCGAAGCTCCTGAATGCAGCAATGCCAGATGTTGTCATGAGCTCAAATATGGCACCCATTGACTTATTTTTGGCAATTTCTTATGAGAATGGATATATTTGTTGGATTACGTGTGCTCTAAGTTTTGTTGTTGTTGCGAGTTACCATTGCTATCTTTGCTTCAAGATCCGGTCTGCTAATTAGCTGAAACCGGTTGACTACGATTTGAATTATGTAAGATTTGATCCCAAAATGCTCAAGTCTACTCTCCCTGGAAAGAGAGAAACAAGGACTTCAAAGGAGTTACACAGTTAAAAAAGAAAACTGCTGTATCATCAATGCTGCTTTATATAACCACTAAAATGTCTCGTATGTAGAAGAGAAATAGGCATTGATTTGCATTGACAAGAAAAATCTCAGCAACCAAATGAAGATGCCTGGACATACCTCTAAGCGGCAAGAGCTAAACCTGACCACAACAACTTCTAATTTTTCTTCCAACCCTCCATTAGCAAATTCAGTACAAAATACAGGGACATTACCAATACTAAGGAACCAGAAAAGAACCCCCAAGCAAGGCAAGCATGATGCAGTGTGCTACTTAACACTGGTACGAGATCAGCCCAAATGTTAAACTGGTTTGTTCTTTTATCACTGGCTTAAAGACAAGGATAACTTTTATCCCTTCACAACTTTCATACCACTTACCCAACTGCATTACATCCCATGGACACTAGTCCAAAGAACATATTTTAATTCTTAAAGCAGCATGGGACCACTTGACCAAAAATAGCTTTATATTTACAGCTCCAACATCTGTAACTGATCCACTGCAGTCCACAGCAGTAATCATTAAGCAGTCAGTAAGTATTACAGCATGAAAAACGCTGTAATCAGTAAATCAAAAGTGAATGATCGAAGTCCATTCTAACTAAAGCGAAAGCATAAGTAACTGGCTTTGTAAATCTCAGTTCAGAAGTTTGTGCAGGTTAGTAGAAATCTGAGTCACCCTGTTCTGAAATTTAATCATTCTTTGCAAGGCAAGTATGATTACATCACTTTGCTTAACAGCAGGAGATCAGCAATTGCAAAGTAGCACTTCATATAGGCATTTTTGTTGGCAGTCTTCCCAAGGCAGCTGTGGACTTGATTAGCCACTAGGACTGAGTTTTCTACAGCAGCAATTATCCAAATACAGCTACTGGAATACCAAAGGAGATAAACATGATGCATTAAATAATACAGCAAGGTTGTGTCTCTAACTGACTGAGAAGTAGAACACACTTTCTTTCATGCTTTATTTTTTTCCCTTTTTTTTTTTTTTTTTTTAAAGATTCTAGCAATCTGTCTACAGACACATCTGAGACTACCTGCCATCAAACCACATGAGCGTTAGTACAGATGATGAACTATATAATAGATGTCACTTCTAGATAACCTCTAAGCCAAAACAGTTCCCTGTTCTTAGGGAGGAATTCAGCTTTTAACTAAAGTGGAGACCTTGCACAAACTAATAGGCAAGCAACAAGTTCAATCAAACTAGACAACCTATTTGCAAACCATGGTTAAACTACGTCAAAGAACTATTAAAGATAATTTGTACCTGCGTAGTTTATGCGTTTCTCCTCATCTGGTCCACTCGTGATCTAACAGTCTCACAGAACAGAAAAGGAACACAATAGAAAAATGGGTCTGTCAGAATGGTAGGGATTGGAAGAGGCCTCTGGTGGCTGCCTGGTCCAACCCAAGCTCACAGAAGGCCACCTGTGGCAGCACTGCCAGATGCAGATGGCTTTCAGGCATCTCCAGGCCTGCAAAGATACAGCTGTTGGTTCAGTATTATTTATCCAAGATGGACTGGTCAAAAGAGCTCCAACCACATCTTTGTATTGCAGTTTATAGCACAAACTACAACTGTCACGATCCTATCAGTTAAGCTCTATCAGATGTTTGAGCTACTCTACTCTTTTCAAAATTATTTTATTCAGGAAGAAAGATGAGAAAGACCAACACCTTAAAAGTTATTTTAATGGAACCAAGGGACTCAAGCTCTGCTTTGATAGCAAGTTAAGTGCTTTTAATAGAGCTTCCCACCTCCCCATCCCCAGCAACCACAACCAGTTACAAATATCAGTAGAACGATTAAGAACAATTAATTCAAATTGCCAGAGAGGTGAGGTTTAGTTGCATTGGTTGAGGTTTTCACAGTATAGTTCCTTTATCCTATTTTGGGTTTATCCTTAGGAGTTCCTTTGTCAGGACTAACAGAGGCCAAGGAGGCCTTGACAGGACAAAAACCACAACCTCTTCAAGTAGCAGGAGAATTGCATGTCATACAGTTCTTACCTTATGTAAGAAGTAGAATCCTGCACACCAGCACCACAAAAATCCTTGCAATTAGCACTGCAAGGAGAAACACTGCACGATGCTCAATAAATGGGCTTGAAATAGCATTTATACTTCCTCTCAAGCACAATTCCCTCCATTCCAGTGTGTGCAGTACTGGTCCTCAAACATCACTTCACTGCTCAAACTTCCTCACTTAGTATTAACTGTACAACTGCAGAAAGAGAAGAAGCAAGACTTACAACAACTCACTTCTTTTGCTGCACTTCTCAAAACAAACCTTAAAGCTAGAGATGGTTATGCAGATCCTAAATTAAACCAATGCTTCTTGGTGGTTTGTTTGTTACACAGGAGTTACGGCAAAACAATCTGAAGCGTTTGAAATCAGTACCCTGCAATTGGACTCGTTTACTAAGGAAGCAATGCTCATGCAAACATGTTGCCTACACGCCCTCTATGAAAAGCTGCAGACATTCAAACAGTCTATTAAAAAACAGCCACAGTCAGCTGATTTTCAAAGCATATTTGAGAGATGAGTTACTGAAAGGTGGGCGGCCCAACAGGATACAAACTCATGGCAGTGAGTTCTTGAAGGATTCTCATTTCAAATAAAATCATCCGCCTCATTAAGCTAAAACTGCAGTGCAAGCACCCATCAGATAGCCACCAGAAACCCAAACTTGAGCACTTCCAAGATTTGTGAAGCTGTTCCTTCCTGCCCACAGCAGGCACTGCTTACAGGCAAAGCAAGTTCAGCCACCACAATAAGAGCTTCTTACCAAATTCTTTCAGTGTGCAACTAGAAGAAACATTAAGGAAGGACGTAACTTCAGCCTCTGCATGCAATTTGAACAGTAACTTTATTATTTAATATATGAAAATCAACAGCACCAATGTTAAGACATCTAAATCTTTCTTCACTCTTTTTTCCTGCAAGTTTGCACCTAAAACAACACCTCAGAAGGCAACGCTGCCCTAACAGTCCTTCTACATGGCAGCCTGATGCCAGCTGTTTGGGATTTCTGTGATTAGTGTTCCACATTTGTGATCTGCATCCAACTAGAAGGAAGAAAGACAACAGAACACAGCTGAATCCAACAGTAGTTTATTACACACTCTTGGCAGATGAAGCTAGACACTTCAGTTACCGTGAATTTAAATATTAGTTGACGACTGCAGAAAGTGTACAAGTACAAAAATATCATTAACAATAACCAAAGGTTCTGACATTGACTTCTGAACAGTTGTACGCTATTATACAGCAACCACTACGTGATCCTCAACCTAAATCAGGGCTTGCACTTTAAAGCACTTTTCATTCTGTTTAAAATAAAAGCTCTCCAAAAGGTGGAGAGACTGGGGGTACAGCCACATCATTTCCCAGATTGCTATCAACATATATCCTTGCCTAATATGGAGAAACCTGGGTTATATTTTATGGATACCTGCTTTTATTGGGGAATACAATAACAAGAAAAATATACGCATAGAATTTTAAAAGCTAAAGTCCAATATGCACAATATTTTTAATATATATTTCTATATAGTACTACAGATTTCATATGGATCAAGAATAGGCCAAATTTTGGCCCAATTTTAAGTGCATTATTATAAAATCCCCTTCAGCCTCTGCTCTGACATTTCAAGCTATTAGCTATCAAATTATCTCTTTCAGTGCTGGTATTATAAACACCCCTGTTGTAAAATCTTACTTTCATTTCAGGCCTGTCAGCCTTGACTTCCACTGGACTTTTAATAAAATAAAGTTCTCAAAAAAAAAAAAAAGACACCTCAGTGACAGGTTTAGTCACATAGTTCAGTCACAACTGTGAGGGCTTCTTATTTACATTTCTGATTAATATTTTCAAGGTAGCATTCTCCTCTGCACCCTTTACACTCTTTGACCTTGATTACATCCTGCAAGCACTTACTACTTACTGCTTCATTTTGTTAAATGGACTCTTACCAATATGCAACTTACTTCAGGTACAGAACTAAGTGCAAAAACCATTTTCTAATGCATAATTAACTTGCTTAAAAACTCAGCATCTGATACAAGCATTTTAGAGAACACCTAAACAGTAATACTCTCTCTGCCATGTGATACCTCATTTTGGTTCCAAATTAAGTTTTGTTTGCCTTTGTTTCACAAAGTCACATAGGAGGAACAACATTAGTGACCCAGTTATCAATCAATCTGACTCAAAGTATTCACAGTATATTTTCAATACATTCATATATCACCTGGAACAAAAACACACTTAAGCTTTCTATTGGAGTAGAGGGGAAATTTTTCTTTACTTTGAAGGTAACAGCATTGGATCAGGCTGCCCACAGAGACGTGGCATCTCCTTCTCTGGACATACTTAGGACCTGCCTGGATGCTCTCCTGTGCAGCCAACTGCCAGGAACCTGCATTAGCAGGGTTGGACTACATGATCTCCAGAGGTCCCTCCCAATCCCTACAACTCTGTGAAACTGTCAGACGTGGCATTAAATGATTCAATGTAACTTCCTGACACAAAGTCATCCAAAGCTCCTCAAAGCCATTTGTAGCATATAGCAGGAGAGTGCTTCTGAGTCATATCTTAAAACAAAGGTTATTACAGAAACTTGAGTCTCAGTAAGCAAAAATCAGTTCTCCTGCCCTTATGTCAGCTACTGACAGCATTCTGGATCTTATTACTCAGCATTGCTACAGTATAGAGGAAAAAAATGTCAATTAACTGCTGCCGATGTACAACCAGATCCAACTGCTGTGAAACAACTTCCAAGTTCAGCTCTTTAAAAGTCATGTAAGAACTGGGATAAGAGATCTTAAGAACAATCTCCCAAATCTCAAAGGCAAGGATATGACATGTGCACCTTAGCAGGCAAGTCACCTAACACACACTAATCATTGGATGCGTTCAGGGTTCATTCTCAATGAAATATATATGGAACTTGGTGCAGAAATCCCAACAACGTTAATAGGAGCTTGACAGCAATGGCCCCTCATACAACTGAATTGTTAAAACATCTTATATTGCATGTGAATCTCCTTTTTGTATTGAGAAAGCAAATACTGAAATAGAGACAACTTTTAACACAACAGATGCATTTACATACAGCATGCAAGGCCTGTTTTATGTATTTGAGCAGCTACAACAGCCACTAACAGCCCTTAATTATTTACAAGTTCAAAAGAATCCTCACATAAGGAGGATTACAGGAAGTTTAGGACACTCATTAGGAAATAAACAAGAAATGTGTAAAAACACCAATGAAAGCAATAATAAGATCTAATAGCAGAGGAAAACCTGTCAGCTTTTAAAATCAGGACTATTTAACACTGTTCTGGTAAGAAGCAAACAAAACTACACACCACATTCAAAGACACTGTTCATAAAGAAGCACATCTTTCTGGTGTCACGTTGGTTACTTTGTTTTCAACTTTTCCTCCAGAAGAAAAGCTGCACCTAAGCTTGAGAAAAGTTTCTAAGCAAAGTAACAACTCCCTCTGCTTTGCCAATTTACCTTGATTTTTCATTTTTATTTAAATTTGCAAGCTAAGTAATAAGGCAATGTGACCAGATGCTGAAGAGCCCCATGGGTGATTCCATAGAAGAAAGATGCTTTAACAGTGGTTCACAGAACAGGAAGCAAAAGAGCTTTATTGTAAACAAGAAACTTTTCTCATAAGGAAAGGTTCTAGAACTTGCATCTGCCTTGCACTGTGGAACAGGTCAGGAAAACAAATTTCTTATGCATAAGCAGACTGGGACAGACTGCTGTCTCCTCTGTCTCATGGAAAAAAAGAATTGAGTTCCAAATTACACTCTACATTACTTTTATTTCTGCTTTGCATTTCAAATGGCAACCAAACAACCCCAATTTAGCTTATATCTTTTAGTAAAAAAAAATGTATCTGTACCTGCTTCAATAATGTAGTTTTCTTTCCTAAAGACTTCATAAATCAGAATTAAAGTGAATGGGAATCAACATGTGAGTAATGCTTTTGCTTCAACTCCAGGAGATGTATGAAGTACATTGCCCTTCTAAAAAGACACTTCACTACCTTTTAAAAGCTATGTTAAATGCATTTATAAATAATTTGGTACCAGCTGCTGCTCACACTAGAATCATTTTTTTCCACATCCAACTCCAGCAGTAGTTTAGGGAAAAGAAAGCGCTCTGGTTTTACCTGTTTTATTATGACTAATTGGAGGAATCTTAATTTATTTTTGCTTAATAATGAATTAAAACAAAAATATTTCAGTTGGCTTTTTTTTTTTCCTTCTGCCTTCTAATACTAATCCATACTAGATGATGTTTTGTGCTAAACATGAAAACAGAGGAGTAAAAGTCCATTCATGTAAACTCCACAAAAGCAGCTGCAGCCTTAGCGACAGGGGAGTAACGCTGTACAAAGCAACATCCCAGTATGTTTCCTACAGACCAAACCATGTGCTACATGGAACGTGGCACTCTGAAGTATGTATGAAAATATAAAATGTATACTTTGTGTAACGGCAGAATAAGCTACAGTGCAATTTTCCTTAGCCCAGTGAAAATCCTACCTGCATTTTCCCCACCCAGCATTCCAGATCTTCCACAACAGGTTCCATTAATAGTACAACAGAGCAAGCACAGCTACAGAACACACTGTAAGAACATTCCTATTTTGTAAACTTCAAGTTCCTAGAAGTCAAATGCGTACCTTAAAATCAGTTTTTGTGCACACATTCTTTCTATGCTACAGTTTAAATATGCTTTACTATAAAATACAAAGTTAAGACGTTTAATGAAAATGTCCTATGTTTTAGGAAAAGTCATCCCATTATTGTCCTCAGACTCTTTTAAAGTAATTGGGACTACAAACAACTTGTTGAGGGCTTTTAAACATAAGGCATTTTGTGTACATTCCTCCCAGCTATTTATTCAGTGACTGCTTTAGTGCTCAAAGCCAAGCCAGAGGAAATCAAAACCCTCAAAACCTTGGGAACAAATTTATCTTTCATATACATTCAGCATACAACTGCAATAAAGGAAAAGACAAAAATTAGAAATCTGACTGAATTAAACCAACCATCTTTCACAAGGTAAGATCTTTTCAGCTGTAAAAGTAGTTCAACACACCATCAATTCTTTTGAATACATTCATAGCTGTGCATTCTGAACACACATCAGAGAAGTCCAATTTCATGTCCTCTATTGCCAACACATGGAATCTTGGACTGCTCTGAGGAAAGAGATACAAAGTTCTGAGCTCATTCCTCCAGTAAAAAGAACCTCCTGATTGCAAATATTCTGTAAGAAAATGTGAGCTCTGTATTTTAGCTAGATGACTCCCTCACCAAATTATGGTTTTCCTGAAAGAAACACCGATACAAAACAAAGTTAACTCAGGTGTGATCTAACAGGAAGACAGCTCCAGCTGCAACACACCAGTTCCTAACATGGAAACAACGAATTGGGTAACAGTAACAGACAAAATGAAACTCAAAAAAGAAGCAAATGAAATCACAATTAAAGGGTCACATCCTGCTCGCCACTGCAAAATGAATCATGACAAGCCCAAAAGTGCGTAACAGTAAAACCCAGATATGCACAAACCGTTCATGAAGTGACCATAGTGTGTTCTGCTCACACCTTCCTGCCAGAAGGCCTGATGAATTTACATTGATCATTATCTTACAGCTGAGCTGGGTAAAAGTGATTATTACCTTTTAACGCAGTGCATTAATGAATTAAAATATTTACTTTTTTCAAGAGCAGGGATATTTTCTAAGTGTATATCTAACAAGCACAGTACTTCTCAGTCAGTTTGGAATACTACGTGAGGTCCCTTTCTTAATAGAATGCAGTATTTTTATTGTTTTTATTTTCATACAATTTTGAACATCTTTCCTTTGTAAAAACCATCTCCAGAAAAATATATCCTCTTCAAGGAGCTTACAATACATGTTAAAAATACCTACAAATAGGTTATTGCCCATTTACAATCTCTTGAGGTCAAGAACGATTCTCATGTCATTTTACATATGCTATTTCAACAGGCTAAACCCTGAATGTTCCAGTTCACTTGAACCTCCTCAGCAACATGGACAGTCACCACTTAAAAATACCTGCCTAATTATAAACCATTTTTAACACAATTAGTCTTTTTACATCACAGTATACGTGGCGTTTCTTAATTTAGCAACAGAAAGGCACAGTTATTAAACTGTAAGATACAGTACCTGAATCATACATGCTCTAGTGTTACCTACCACCAGTGCAAATCCAGACTACTTACCCTGCAGGGGATGCTAAAAGAAAAAAAAAAAAGCTTCTATTTGGAGTGACTTTCCTTTAGAAAACCTCAATCAAATTAAAAGTTTGGTCCGTTAAATATGCCTATTAGCCAAAACATCTCATTCCCACACTTTTAGGAGATAAGTGAGGAAAACCAACTTAGCACTGTATGACCCAACAACTTGAATAAGTTACTATGAAATGGCAAAAAAAAAAAAAAAAAAAAAAGGTGAATGCAGCTTTCTGATTAGCTGTCAGACATACATGTTAAAGCATCAACATACACAGATACAGTATGACAGACATTCCAGGTACATTCACTGCATCACACACAGACTTTGTGACAGCAGTAAGTCTAGACACAGCATTTATAGACATCAGCACTTTTCAAGGTACCCACCTTCTGGCCCCACAGCACACCAGAGATGTGCAATGTCTTCTAAATGCTTTGTCTGCTATGTACTGCTGTGAAAGTGAAGACCCTGCTAAAAGCCAAGCTCACCGGCCTTCCCTTAGCAAACAAGTGCACCTCTTCCAAAAGCAACTAGCTCTGTTTTCCTACTTGAAGTGATAAATTTACATCAGGAAAGACCAATGAAGTGGAAGACGCAAGGAACAACAGACATGAGGGAGAACCCAACCATTCCATACGTGATATAGCGATAGGGCAGCTCAACTTCCATGCGTTGTCTCGCTTTCCGTACGTCATCGTGTGGTATGCGAAATATTTTGCATGCCAGTGGAATAGTGGCTTTCTTCATTGCTATTTTTGTTAGTAAGAGAATTATTACGCCAATCAACAACCGTAATATGGCTTTTCCAAACACAGTCACGGTGAGAGAGGAAAGAGATAAAGGCAGTGTATCAAGAGGGGGATCTAGTTTCACACCCATCATGTAGTTAACATGAGAACCACAGGCTACTCCAGCACCACAGCCCAGTATCTGAGCTGTGTCTCCACGCGATGTGCTCCACGTGTCCAGAGTAAAAGAGAAGATGCCCAGGGCTAAATGCAGACTGATGATAATTAGGGGCGCATACTTGTAAGTTAAGTTGAAGTCATCAATCAGGTCCACAGCTGGATGGAAGACAATTAAGATGAGAATTGCATACAGAAATCCAGCAATAACATCCTGTTGAGGAGAGAAAAAGATGTTTTCAGAGTAGAAACTATTTTAAAAACATAGTTTAAGTTACATTAGCATGAAGACAAACTCAGCTGCTCCGTTGCTAAACTCTAATTGCAAATTCCCATCTTTTCATATTTACAGGACGTCTTTTTTGTTAAGGGTAAAGTAAGGAATTGTATTTGATCAAATGATATTGTAGAACTGCCTAACTGCTGGCTACAAGGGTGGCAATGAGTAATGGTAAGGCAGCAGAAGACTGCAGCAGCCAGACATTAGAGCAGCAGGAATTCCAAACAACTCCAGATTCAGAATAAGCAACAGCAAAACCAATGAATGCTTCCTATTGTACAAATACTGCAGAAGAGAAGGGGCAAGAATTTCTTAATACCTGAAGTTCAGTTTTGTCATTTTTTAAAAGCATCTTCATGAAAATGTTCCTCTACTTATTTTTCAGCTTATCACTAAATTTCAGCTATTGTTGATTAATTACTCTGTTACACAGAATTACCTACAAATTTTGTCACCTTTGTTAATAAGCCTGTTGAAGTCTTTGTAGACGTGAAAGCACTGAGGCCAAATCACTTTTATCACATGCTTACCAGATTTCCCACACAAGTCAAGAGGTATGATTCCCATCTGCAGTATTTGTGTTGCAGTCTTCAATCAATCATTTGTATTCACTTCCACTAACTAAATGCTTGATAAAAGCTCTAATGCAATTTGACTGATACAAAAATCAGACCTGCTCATTTCAGAAGCTTCCTACCATTTGCCACCCTACCCCCAACATCATGCAGCAAAGCTCATCTACATTACAGGTAACAAAATTAACAGGATTCACTCAACACTACAGAGATACAAGAGCTCTGAGTAGCCCAGTCTACATGATGCATTGCTATTTCTTGCATGACTTGGTCCTAGGGCATTATCTGTCTTTAGCTGAAATAGCAGTGCATCCCAATTGTTCTCCATACAAACGGATCTGACTTGGTAAGCCTCCAATTGCTAATGCAAATCACCCATTGAGCTCTTCCCCAGCTGCCTTATTTTCACATGCTCCTTTTATACTTTCCCCATCCACCAGCTTATTTACTCACTACCAACTTCACCACTTCATCAGCTTTTCTCCTTTCAGCACTTAAACCTCCTTAGCTATCTTAGATTCAGACTGCCATTTTGTAGTGTTCTTTAGTTTATATATTTTTATATATTACCTGTGTCCATATCTAGTTTGGGTGGGTTTTTTTCCTAATTGTTTTTTTATTAAAAATTCTATTTCTCGAGGATGAGAACTTCGTTATTCATTTCTTTTGAAACTTTGATATGTAAAACCCCAGCATATGCTCTGAAACCTGAGCACACACTGACAGCCACTCTATTATCCAACAAAACTACTACTGCTCTGTAGGGGAAAGTCAGTCTATGCTTTGCTACCTCTATCACCCAATTTTGCACTAAATCTGCTGGAGTATAAATTAACAGAAGCTTGATGTGTATTTTTAGCTACTGTGTCAGTTCTGTAAGTATTCTGCTAAACCTCCACATACAATTTATCTCAAGCAGGTGTGCAGAAAGATCTCTGTAGGATCAGCCTAAAGGAATAATACCTTCTGAGAGAGATACAGAGTACCTCAAGGGCAGATACAAAAACCTTTTATACACAAACTCTGCAGAACAACAAACACATCCCCAACATTCCACTGGTACTTCAGTAAATGCAGCAGCCAACTGCAGGAGGCATTTCAAAGTTGTTCCAACTGTGATTCACGCAACGTGCCTCTTTTGAGTGGTCTGTAATTCAGTTTTGCTTATACACTTAATATAATCAGTTCAGCCTACATTGCTGTCACCCCAGATCACGATTTAGAAATCAGTGCATGCAAGTCTAAAAATGATGGGGAAAAAAATCCAAGCATGAATTACTTTGGAAAAAAAAAAAAAAAAAAAAACCTAACTTCCAGATGTTGTTCTCACTCCACTTTTGTTACTTGCAAGACTTTCCTAGTTCTCCATTCAGTATAAACAAATTCATGCTTGAACAGTGTTGGGAAAGATGATGCAATGCAATCTGAACTCTACTGAATGAAGGCTGACTATGAGCTTTTTTTTTCCTGCACTGAAACTGAGAACTGGAAAATGTGAATGACAATTCAGTGACATAAACAGAATATTGTACAGAATATTAATGCAGACTGCTTCAACACAGCTCAGCAATTAACCTTTAGGTCATGCAACAAGAGCAAATGCAATCTTAAATATTGTAATCATACACCACTAGTATCCTAAAAAAAAAAAAAAAAACTGAATGAGGGGTACACATTACTGTAAATCTTGATAATGTATTGCTTTACATTCTGCTTCTAACACCCTCTGAGATCACCTTGTAAGGGGCTTTGTGCAGAAACTAGCAGAACTGCTACCCAAACACAGCAGCCAGGTATTAACATCACTATTTGTATTGATCTCAAATTTAATAAACATCAAGTCACAGAAATAATAACATAGAAGTAATAACAATAACCTGATAGAAAGCTGCTCCAAACTGCTCACTTCTACTGTCCTTTACTGGAGCATCTACTTACTATAGGACAGCCTAATAATTCAGTTAACACATGTCTGGGTGCCTTGTTCCTTTCTATACACGCTTGCTGCATGCTAAGGACAGCCTAGAAAAACTGAGCACATATGGCAGATCATATTGCTATATGTTTTCTCCACTGAGGAAATGCAAGTATTCTGTTCCTATAGGTATCCTACAAGTCCTGCATACCCTGCCCTGTACCATGTAGAAGATATTCCAAGATAACGTTAGATACAATGACTGCACTGTAGATGCTCCTGCAATGAAGTTTATGAAGTCAGAAATTAACAGAAGTTGTTAAAATGAAAATTCAGTATGATTATTTCTTACCAAAATGGAATGCATTCCCATATAAATTCTACTGCAGCAAACCAAAGAACACCAGCAGAACGCAAGGATCAGTCCAAACATAAGGGGATACTGGTAGGAAAAGAATTGAAAGATTGTATTAGTGTTTGGGGAAACAAAAAAATCACTAAGAAATCTATGATTAACTACATAAATGTAACTTCCAACACTTGATCCATGCATCTCATGCTCATCTTTTTCTTGCCTGAGTCTACCCAAGCCCACCTGGCTACCTCCACTAAGTCTGCTTTTAATTAAGACAAAAACTACAAAAATCAAACTTCTTCAATTTTTTCCTTGTCCTGTTCCTCTGCACTGAGGCCACGTGAATTTCAGAGCGTTAGGACTCGTGGGTTTGGGTTGTTTCATTGTGGGTTTGTTTGTTTTTCCCAGACCAAGCAAGAACAAGTTACCAGATCTTTATGACAGTTCGCCTTGCTGAGCTGCGGTGCTCCAGATTTGAACCACAGCCAGAGTCAACCCTTGTGCTATAAGCTGGGGAACAGTTTCACCCTGGGTAACACGGCTATGATATGCTGGCATTGTCAGCAGCCATCCAGGCAGGATCTAGCAGCTTTATCTTTCTCATGAGAAAGCAGAAATCCATCATTTACTGCTGAATTCAATACCCTGCAGACTGTTTTAGAGGTTCTGCAATCCACGATGTGATCTCCAAGCCAAGGTACTAAACTCCTAGCATAGTAACCTTTGATCTCTAGGAAATCATATAAGTTTCTCTTACAAGACTTAATCAAAATCCATCAAATTATCACCAAGACCTTCTGGCAAAAAAAAAAAAAAAAAAAAAAAAAAAGATGTTTTCATTGTTATAAAGACTTCTCATTAGGAAAGAACAATTTACTTGGTACTAATTAGCATGTAGCAGAGTGTGGAACCAGCATATTAACTTTTATAGGTTTGGGATGATTGACAGAGCACCACCTCCATATCTGACACCACAGTAAGAAACTCTTTCCTCATCACTGCATTGCAAGATGTTGTGTAAAGCAAGATACAACTTCCCTTTTCAGCTTTCAAAATACTCAGTAGTTACATACAAGAAGCAGTCACAAGACAAAGCATTTCTTAAATTGCTTCACTTCCTATATGAAAGCAATGATATCAACATCAACTTTTTCATTATTTTCAATACAAGTAGTTTGAAGGGCAGAATACCCACCTCTTTAACCCCTTTAATCAGGTCTTTAATTCACCTGAAGTTGTACATTCTTTGTAAAGGCCATTTAACACATCTACAGACTTTTAAATCAATATTTCAATGAAAGCCTTAAGTATTATTGGCTTTCCATATTATCACATCACTCCTTGAATTCTCAGCTTCAGATTGATCTTAATGAGACAAACCTCAGAGAAAAAATTCCCCAAACTATCAGAAAATCAGGAATTCTACATTTCACACAAAAACAGAAATGATTTTAAGGTGAAACCTATATGCCCAGCTCCCAGCTGTGCTGCATCTAGTTTAAACTGATTAATGAAGCAAGCAGCCCTTTTTCTACTGCAATTGCCTACAAACTGTACCCAAAGTTACATCCCCAGTAACTTATTTCTACTGGAAAGGAGGGAAGAAGCTCAGAAGCTGGAGGTTTGACAGGAAGACTAATGAAGTGACAGGACCAGCAGGGCACAGCAGCTAATGACACTGCTATGATAAGTTTGGATGGTGCAGGGGATGATGTTAGAGCATCTAACAGCAAGAGCCTCAGAAGAAAGAACACAAAGAAAGGTGTATGTGAGGAGCCGTGCTTTAAGAGCTCTCAGCAAGTCATTATTACAGCAGAGGGACAGGAGAAAGTCTGGAAATGAAGCGATTGCTCTCAGGGATTCTCACAGAATCACCAAGGCTGGAAAAGACCTACAATATCATGCAGTCCAACCATCCACCCATCACCAACAGTTCTCGCTAAACCATATCCCTCAACACAACATCCATACCCTCCTTGAACACGTCCATGGTCAGTGACCCCACCACCTCCCTGGGCAGCCCATGCCAGTGCCTGAGCACTCTCCCAGAGAAACAGTTCTTCTCAAGGGAGGCGTTAGGGGAAGCAGCAAGCTGTGTCACTAACTCCCACTTTGAAGAAAGTTTTGGAAAGAACACCTGGCTCTCACACCGCTATACACGTATAATTTTTTTATGCTGTTGAGAACAGTTCTCCATTAATACACCTAAAAACACTGGATAGCCTGGTTCATCTGCACCAAAGCATCTGAGCTCTTGGATACAAAGACTTTCCTATCATGCCCCCAATAAAAAGCCAATTATATATTTTACAGTGGTTCACATATTCTTAAGCACAGCAGAATTTTTAACTGAACCCCAAGCAAATTACTCTTACTGAAATAGTTTTAGCATGACCTGCCAACAAGCGTGTCCACAGCATGAAGCACATTCTGACTGCTGTTCCTTTCAGTGCATGATGCTGATATTTGTAGAAGTCCTAAACCCAGCCAGTTTCTTTGCACCCAGATGAGCTTACTCACCAGTGTATATCACACAGAACAGTCTCCAGCCCACCAGAAAGCAGCAGACTACCAAAACAACAATTATTCTAATTTCCATCGGAATAATATTCCACAATGAAGTAGTTAAGTAGATTCCCATGATTAGCTCCCACACTAACCATTCCCTTCCCTGCTCCCAACAGGCACATGTGGGCAACTGTTGGGTTATGAAAACTGATAAGTTACTTTACTGATATAAAAAGAAGCTTCAGATAGACATAAATACGTATAAGATGAAAGAATAAAATTTGACTTAAGAAAGGTTTTAGCCTTCATCTGTCCTGCCTTACTCCAATATTATTTCTGTACTCCCTGCACAGCACACGCACAACTGATATGATTTTCCCAAACCCCAAAACCCCCATGTGGAGCATCACAAAGCTGTAAGTGTGTGCTGGAGCTTGCTGGATTTCTGCTACGGAGGTCAGCAGAACAACCTCCCCTGTTAGAACAAAAATAAAGCATGATATCCTGCTTCTCCAGGGCCTGTTTTCACTCCTGCCTTTTAAAAGCAACCACTAAGATCAAGAATTCTTAAGCTGGTCCTACCAGTTTGGTGTTCTAAGATCTGCCTCGAGGTGATACAGCAATGGCATATTTTGTTCTCACACAAGGAATAAGTGTACCAGGTGACTAAAGGAGAATATTAACACTCTCACACGCTTTGCAGCTCAGTCAGAACACTGCTCAGCACCATGCCAAGCTGTAACACCACCTGGGAACATCACTGTGATCCTTAAAAAGTGAAAAGAATGAAGTATTAGCAAGCACTTTCCAGATGATGCTTTATCTGGAGAACAACGTGCCATTTCAATATGTTTACGTGCACACAGTGAGGTAACACCATTCATAACCTCCCACTGCGTAGGCATATGAAATCCCCCAAATATCATTTATCACTTACTGGCATAATGCCTCGAGGGTATTACCATGTGTTATCAGGCCTGCTTTACAACAAACCATGCTTCTCACAGCTCCTCTCTCAATCACAAGTGAATCTTCAAAGAAAGAAACAGCTTCTAAGATGCTTTTGCCTTAAAACAGGCACATGTTACGGAATATTCAATTGAAAATGTTAATAGAAACAAATCAGTGTTCACAGAACACATGCCTATGCTCTGTAAAATTTATTAGATATCTCAATTGCTTCTATGCCAACAGTCTTGAATATGTTGAATACTGATAGAACTGTGTAAGGCAGTTGTTTTTCTAAAGTAAAAAACCTTGTAACTTGAAATTCTTAGCCTTATATTAAAAAGCTCACCTAGTACTAAAGCTGAACATTAAAATCACACATTGACTCCAAAGCAACATTTCTCCTTGAGGAAAGCACCCACTTTTCACATTAGATCAAATCACCGACCTCCACCTCACACAAATCTTTCTCCAAAATCCAGAACAAGACTTGGGTAACATGCATAAACATGTAGCACACCAAGCACTCCAAGGAGAAGTAGAGGCAGATGGAACTGACAGCACAGATAAAAAGAAATGCAACAGATAGTCAAGCTACAGCCATTGGCATTTGGTTTTTAAATGTTTGCATTGATGCGATGCGTTATGCGAAGGCAAAGCGTCTCCATCTTTTTATTTGCAAACCAGGGACAGATCAGGAAGCGTGCTTTTTAAAGAACAAAATTGGACAAAGTACAAATGAACTGATGTACTGAATTCACACCTTCAGTGAAAGGTCTGGCAATAAAGCTGACTACCAGAATGCTGACCTTCCCACAGGCCTCAGTTTTGTTCCCACATCCAGAATCTTGTTCCAATTGAGTACGCAGAACCAAATCAGTACTGTTTGGAAAACAGCAGTGAATCCACTCCCAGTTAAGTTCTTTAGCGTTGTATGCCTTGTGCTTTCAATGGAAAATTCCCATTTTCTTCGACCACATCCTCCAAAGAGAACTTGTGAGCTTCTAACTGCATCACACAGCACATGTCCTCCCACCCCTTAGCTGACTTTATGCCAAGAGCCTCAATAACATAACCATTGTTTTAAAATGCTCATAAGGAAACAATCTGTCTGAAAAGCTTTGACCTCGGTCTGAAAAGTCTTTCTTTTAGAATGGAACATTTGTTAAACATACTCTAGATGCTCATTTCTTCACAGTTTAAAAGCACATTCTGTTTCCAGTACCCACAAAGGGCTCCAAATTAATTTTCAAGTATATTGCATCTTCTACAGTGTGATTTTAAAAGATCACTGAATAAGAAGTCCAAATCTCAGGCTGAGTTTGAATTTGGGCCACTCAGAAGAAAGAATAGGAGCAGCAATTGCAGCACCATGCTTTTACCAGGAGGTCTGGGCTACATATTGGTGACAGTCATCTGAAAAGCTATAAACAATTTTGACAAAAACTACTGAGATGCAATTTGGCCACATGAGTACAAAACACAGCATTATTTTCTTTCTTCCACTGATGAATCTTGACAGCAAAAGGCATAAAAATCTGAATGCTGTATGACATTATTAGAATCTTCTCTTTAAGTTCCAAGATAAAGATTTCAGTGCCAACCTCGTAGAGAGCTACAGGCTTAATTCTCCTCTAGGTATCTGAAAAGAAATCAGGAGTTAAATAGGAATGTGAGCCTGTCCTTTCTCCTTGCAAGCATCAGAAATAACCTCCCTCCCCACATCCCACAAGAATCACCTGGGACTTCTCTGTTTATACCCTCAAAACCTGAAAAATAGTTTTTTCTGCAAACTGATGTTCTACACTACTTAATTTGCTTACGTGGAACTGAAACATATTTAATGCTGATCAACACAACTCCATAGGACAGGCTGCTTCACAGCCTTGGCACAGACCCCCCAATGGATCTGTAGCAGGCTGCTATGCTCAGCTAACACAAACTTGTTAAGAGTACATGCATCAGACAGGCCTCACCACTCTTCCCTAGCTTTCTCCACAAAGAAGCTACATTCACGTGGGCTACAAAATACACCAACTCAAACGCGCAGCACAGGGCAAATTCTTCCAAATTCACAATTCTGTCTCATGATCTCTTTACCATGCAAGAATTTGGGGCTTTCAGATCACCTCTTCAGCCAGGCTTCCCACATCAGAAGGGTTTGGGGTTGATTGCTTAAGAAAAATGTAACTCAGAGAAGCACGCATGTCGCTCTCTGTGCAACCCCCACGATAGCAGCATTACGATGAGACCATTCACCCAGCACCAACAGTTAATCGTTCCCATTCCCAGGGGTATCTAAAAAGTCAGTCTCTTGAAAAAGAAGAGGCAGACAATTCTAACGCTAAAACACAGTAGTGGTTCAACTGAGTGATGCAGAACTCTCTGAAATCCCAATACAGAGCCTGTCCAACCCACCTCATTTTATCAGATTCAACAGTGTTGCATGACAGAAGTGATGGTGCAAATGAAAGACTTCTGGAAGGGTGCTTGTGTTGGTACCACATTGCACACACAATTTGTACTGTGGAGAATCAGCATGGCATTAAGTAAATGAAAACTACAAAATGCTTTGAGACGTGTCAGTCAAAGCAGCTGTTACAAAATGCTTGGGCTGTACTGGGAGTCCAGTTGTAGGGCTTAATAGGCCACCATTCTCATCAGTGGAGTCATTGTTAGAGGGATTTGTACGTACAGCACAGGCAGACGAGTACACAGGGAGGATAATTCTGTCATGCTCAATGATCTAAACTGCTTTGCAATATAAGCCCTACCCAACAATGTTAGTTAACACAATTAAATGCAAACTGCTCATTGATCAAGGCTCCATGCTCCCACTGAACATCAGTTTAACCAAGCAACACAGGAAGGCAAAGCCCGTAAGCCAGAAACTGTGGCCAAATCCAGGGTGTACTAACTAACTAATCAGGCCTAACTCCAGCACAATATCTAATTGAAATCAGCAGCTCAAAGCCATCAATTAAAATTTAAATAAAACTTTTTCCCACAGTCTCACATTAAGGCTTTTGGAGATCTGGCAGATGACAGCCAGCAGTTCACACCATCTCTTCCACCCCACTCACAACACTGTTTTGAGCCAACCTGCATCTCAGGGAAAGCAGGCTTCCTCCAGTGTGACGTTGGAACTGCATTCCTTACGTTGCATGGGGATCTACAGCCTCTCTGTCTGTCCTTAAGCATCTGTCCTCCTCTTTCAGGGTATCAGAACATTCAAGATGGGAAGAAAGATACCATTTGTAATACTCCTTAATTGTTGATTTCATCTTTGTAATTCAAGCTTACCTAAATGTCTTTGGAACAGGTAGTGCATCCAACTGAGATTTAAAAATATATCTAATATTTAATAAAACGATGCAAGAATCAAAAGTTTCAGGCAGGCTCTCATAACAAAAGGACAAAGTGAGAAACTACGTTCTGCACTAGAAAGAACAGCTAGCTATCATTCAACTTAACATCTGACTTTCATCTAGAAGAAAACACTTGTGCACTTTCACAGGGAACGTTCAGTGCAATCACATTTAAAATACACCATCTCTCCAAATATTTTACTTCAGTAACTGCATTTATTAGCAAATATTTTACTTTTACTACATGTAACCTAAACTCCTTCTGAATACAACATGAAATGCAAGTCGTTGTGATAGGACTAATGATAGACACTGAATAACAGGGAATCTTAAATGTAACGATTTAAAAGAAAATCAGTTGGAAATGAAGTGTTGTGCTTCCAAATGGGTGATTTGGGCTGTACCTAGGAAAAATAAAGAACAGATTTTCCTTGTACTCTATATTGTTTAAGGGAAAGACTAACAGATCGTTTGATAGAAGAGTATTACACAATACTAGGAAGTCATAACCCAACGAAAGCAAACTCCAAGTAAGTTATACAGGAAAGCGACTCCCCTTTCACTTGAGTAAGTTCTCCTGGGGCAAGAGCAGATCTCTTTGGTGTAAGAAAGCCCCTGAAGTGTCCAACTCAGTTACTTTTACTCCAGGAAAGCCTGCCAAGAGTTACAGCTCTACCTCCTAAAACTCAGCCCCATCCCACTACGATTGTTCTGAACAAACACTGCTAAGATTTGGAGTCATAGTTACCACGATAAGGTAATGCTTGCTTATACCGAGTACAGAGAAAGGCTGTACCTCAACATCTGCAGCAAGTTTAAAATCTAACCACCTGTACCTGCTGATACACATCTGTAACTTAATAGCTTGCCATTAACAGCTTGCCAAGTAAGTTAGATGTCAGTTCCAACTGCTTTTGTTGGTGGTGGTTTTGGTTTGAGGCATCTTTTTGTTAATAGTTCTTGCTCTTATTCTTTTTGGTTATTTAAAACTCCTCTATTTACAAAATAGCACAACAAAAAAAGTTTTCATATAGATTCTACCCCTTTTTCAAAGTCAGTAAAACACGGAAAACAGCAGGAGTGTTAGATGAAAGCTTAATTTCTATTAGAAATGTTGAATATCTTTCAGTACATCTTATGGGTTAACTTTTAATATCTAGAAATAATTTTTAAAGTCAGAAAGATTTTAAATGGCAGAATCTGGTTTCAGAAAGATCTGTTTTTCAAACTCATTTCATAGGAGGAATGAAATCATCTGAAGACTTGCTTTGCTCCCTCATTTCTTAAGTGTGTTCTAAGTGAAGAAGAACAAGGCTGTCTGCATACAACTTCTTAATACACATTCGTTAAAACTGTATCTAGTCAATTAGCACAGTATTTCACGGACTGCAGTTGCAGAACTAGCAAAGAGGAGATTCAATCCAGTTCACTGCCAGAAGAACTATTTTACACATTGTCAGTTTGCTGGTTTTATAAGAGCAATCAAGGCAGGTTCTGCTTAGTACATATGTCATCAAAATCCATGCAAAAATAATTGACTGTTACTACTAAATGAGCTTTCCTACACACACAGAAAAAAAATCCCATTCATCTTTTATAGACATCCCTCTCACATCTAAGAAAACCAACAATATTCAGATATGTAGACAGCCCTAAAAACCAATTTCATGATGAAGCACCTCAGAGACAGAAATACATTTATTTCATGAATACGCACAACGTGTGAAACAAAAGCCTGCCAGGCTGTAGCAGAGTAGGCCATCACATCTTCCTAGCAAAGAATATGAATCCCCAACAGCTTTCTTCTAGGAATGCTGCACCACCTCACAGAAGTAGATATGTAAGCTCTGGTTAAAGAGAAGACAAACACGTCACAGACTCCAACCTTCATCTCCTTCTTTCCTCTTGGGCACCCATTTAATACACTGAGATAAAGCCACAGAGCAGAGATTGCAAACCATCACTGGAAGACAACAGTTCAGCTTCTGCACAAAGCTTAAGAAATCAACTCTTTACCAACGCGGCACACATGGCTTAAAACAACCAAGTTTCATAACAGAGTTTGTAAATATTAACTGCTTTAAAGTAGAACTATTACTTCGACTTTATACACAGAGCCCTCAAAACCTCACACTGCGTGTTTGTCGCCTGCAAGAGCGTTCTGCCTCACTTACTGCAGGACCTGGCGCAGTGATTTAGAGGACTGAGTACACGTCGGGCTTCCTTTGGAACCCCTGCTGTCGGCCACACAGCTAACAGCGTGCCACAATGCAGCCCGTGCCGCAGCGTGCACAGATGGCCAGCAGCATTCCTTCAGCTTCGTGCACTGCCTCACCGTGCAAAAGACCCCCGAGTGCTTAGAATCATAGAACAGCCTGGGCTAAAAAGGACCACAATGATCACCTAGTTTCAACCCCCCTGCGATGTGCAGGCATACCAAAGGTTCGGAGATTGATTCCTGCTAATTATTGGCACGTTAACAGCTATAAAGCCATCCGAAATCAAGCATAAGCCTCAAAGCAATAAATGAGCATCACCAGTTTACAGGCTGTTCAACTAAAAATAACGAGTTAAAGAAAAGGCAAACTGATTCAAGCAATAAGGTGACTCGAGGCAAAGCAGGCTCAGCAAAAAGCCCTTCAGCTCCTGGCTCCCCACCAAATTCTCAGTCAGTAGAACCAGAAGCCTATACAAACACTGGATGCCTATCGCAGCTGCGTGCAGAAACCCTACAAGAGAAAAGCTGAAAAACCTCACGGGAACAATGCGCCCGTTTTTAACGCAGACTTGCAACGCACGCAGAGCTGACCGCTCACTGCAGAAAAGGGGCAAGAAGGAAGGAAACACGGCACGCCACAGCCTCACAGGACGGGGAGCTGAGCGTTACCTGCCAGCGGCCGTAGCTGAGCAGCAGCAGAGCCAGCGGGATGGCGGTGCCCGACATGGCGTGGGTGGAAGGCATGCTGTACTCGGAGTTGTAGAAGACCTCCAGCTTCACCACGGGCGGGGAGGCGGGCCGCGGCCAGCGGATGACATCCTTGGTGCACTGCCCCAGGTACATCACCCACACCCAGATGATGATCAGCCTGCGGCCCAGCCAGGCGTCCAAGTTCCAGATGCAGAAGGGAAAGAAGAGGATGTAGAAGAGCTCGTTGCCCAGCTCGGTGCCTAAGCTGAAGAGGTAGTAGAGGAAGCGGCTGCGGGCGTTGAACTCCTGGCAGCCATCCTCCTCCGTCAGGGAGTTGCGGCGCGGCCTCCGCCAGCGCCGTTGGGCGGCCGCGGCCCCTCCGGGCACGGCCCCGTTCCCCGCGGGATGCCGCCGCCCTCCCGGGGGAGACCCGCCGTTCGCCACCGGCCCCCGGCTCCCGGCCCAGCCCGCGGGCCCCTCCACCCCGCACAGCCGCTGGAAGGCGGCCACCCCGCGCGGGTCTTGCAGGTTGGCGGCCAGCCGGGCCAGGCGGCGGCACACGGCCATGGCGGGATGGACGAGGCCGCCGCGGCGGCGGGTCGAGGACGGCTCCGGAGGCGAGGAGCTGAGGTGGGTCGAGGAGAAGCGGGGCGGCTTAACGCCCGGTGGGACGGCGGCTCGGGAACAGATCTCCGAATCGTCGCTGGCCGGAGGACGAGAAGCAGCGCCCCGCGCGCCCGCCGCTGCCGCCGCCCCCGCACAGCGGCGCCTGCGCGCTGCTCCCGCCCATACGGGCGGAGACCCCCCTGAGGGGAGTCCTTGCGGCGCGGATTGGCCGTGATCCCCTCTAGGTCCCGCCCTCAGGGGAAAGGGGAACCAATCAAGGCTTGGCGCTGCCTGGGCGGCGTGCCTCGGCCTCGAGCGTGAGGCGTGGAGGCGGCCGCGGGCGGGGAGTCGGCGGTCCCTGCCGGCCCTGAGGAGCGCGGGGTTGGCGGTGCGTCCGCCTCGGCAGCAGTCCTGTCGAGCTGGCTGTCCTTCCCTCTGCCGCAGGGCTCCTTGATGCTCCTGGCTGTCCCAGCAGTTGTGTTTCTGGACTCAATTATGCCCTTGTACGTTTGTACCTCGCCTTAAAATCAGGAGGCTAAACAAGTGTTAAATGTGCCTCTCCTTGCTGCTTTTGTGAGCAGCGTGATCCAAGTGGCACTGACCATTACAAGGACTGTAGGAAAGCTGGGCTGAAGGAGGACGTATCTGAGGAGAAGGCCCAGCCTTGTGCAGTACTTACAGCAGTGACCTGGAAGCAACTGCAAAAAGTCATCTCAAAGATTAATGGAGGCTTGAATGAAAAATGGCTGGAATGTTGGTAGAAACATCACGTCCAAACAATGAGCCGGGATCACACTCTATCAAAGAGCCAAGTGTGGAGGCTGTAACTATCAGATATAAGGCTAAGCCCTGGGAAGATACTGGCACAGAGAGGGACTTAGGGTTAGAATAAATAAGCATTTTCATAAGGGCTCTGCCATACAATGCTATGACAGAAGAGAGAGAAAAGGATCAAACAATGGAATAAAACAGTGCTCATTGTACTTCTCGTGTTTGGCCTCAGCAGTGCCTTCCACAGGACAGTTCATACAGTTCTGGTTTTCATTTCTGAAGAAGCATATTGGGAAGTAAGAGAACAAGCGCTCAGGCAATAGGTTCTGGTGTTTAGGAAAAAAGGCCTTATGCTGGAGGTTTTACGAACTAAAGTTGTTAGAAGTAATCTAAAGGAATTGAGATTGCAGTGTATAAGAATATTCCTGGGGGAAAGTACAGGATATTAAAGGCTTCTTTAATCTATTGAAGAAAGGCGTAACAAGAAGCAGCGGCTGGAGGCAGGCATTCAAATGAAATAAGACACACATTTTTGTATGGTTAACCACCAGAAACCATTCCCAAGAGAAGCTGAGGATTCTTCATCATTTTATGTCTTCTGTTGAACATCAGAGCATTTCCAGAAATTATTTTTTACCCAAGCAGAAGATACACTTCAATTTATTGGATGAATACAGGTTGAAATCTGATGGTCTGTGATACGCATCGTGTCAGGTTAATCTAGTGGGACCTTCATGTTTTAAATTTTAAAGGCCTGAAGCAGACATTTCATTAATAACCATGAGCATTAGAATCTTTTTTTTTTTTTTTAATTTGTCCTTGCCTCGAAATACTTCCGCTCAATAAAAAACTGGTCAGAATTTAATGCTTGACTGCAGAACATACGTACTGAGACAAGGTCTGGGGGTTCTGGCCATTTTACTTCCCAAATTTTCCCCTCTTGGGGTTACTTAGAAAAAAAAAAATCACTGCATTTCCATTTAGATTTCTGAAGGAATAGATCCTTACACAGAAATTTCATATAAAACCTGGATAACAATCCTCCCAGAAATATTTCACATCGAGCACATCAATTATGTAAAATTGCCTCAAGGCTAAGAGGTTCAGAGAGCACCAAATGAATCCTGATAGATCATCTGTATTGTACATTTTATGTATTTATATGTTGCATGTTTGCATTCTAGAGTCTTAACCTCACTTGAGGCATTATCATGGCATAAGCAATGATATTGCCAGTGGAAGGGCTGTTATTATTGAAAGAGGGATAAATGGAAGATGAACAGTGTTTCAGATTAGCAGCTTGTTGGAGAAACACATACAAAAACCCACCCCTGAAATGGTACGTGGTAAATTTTGCTATCTTGAGATGGAAGGTGTGCTGCCATTTCTCTACCTTCTGAGAAATGTGCAGTGTTAATCCTGCAAGACATACATGCTTCCTAATTTAAATGGTTCCCTTTTTCCTGGATCCTGAGCAGAAAATGCAAAAGCAGAAGCTGAAAAACAAGCTGCCGCCTTCCTTTGTGTTTTCTTTTTCCCACAGCCAAGACACAATCTCCTCTTAAATACAGAACAAACTGAAATCTGGTAATTAACTTGATGATGAATTCTGGAGTGTGATCTGAATAACTGTACCGGCAAAACAGTCACTGTGGTTATAAAGGATGTAGTGAAACTTGTCTTTATGGTATGCTCTCGGTAACATAAAAAAGCTCAAAGTCTTTATGTGTGTGTGGTTGAAACTTTTTACTTCGACTTTGAACTATTAGCGTGAAAATTGGATGGCACTGAAACTGAGGAAGGTTTTAAGTTACTTTTGTGTTTTTGAAGTGAATAACTGCTGCCATGGGCACTCCATAAGGAGCAGTGCAGTGCACCCTACCACTGAAATGTGTTTCTTTTCGCTGGCTGCAATAGATGGACCCAAAGCTGTTCTGCATACCTTTCAGCTGATAGTGCAAGCGTGACATTGTACCACATGCATTTCCACAAGTGGCAAACCAGCATACTCATGGCCACATTCCCAAAGACCATAAGATCCAATGGGACAGCTGTAGGACTGGTGGCCTAGAAGGCACAGAATACATAACACTCACAGCTGCTGCCGTGACCATCCTGTAACATGACAGAAACAGAGTCAGCAGTCATTTATGAGGCAGAACATTGCTGTCCCTGCAGATGGCCTCTGGTTTCTGGGTGTATTTAAGGCACTGGTTCTGCCTTACAAAGCCCTAAAACATTGGAGAACCGTTTATCTGTGTCATTGGCAGCCAGCTGTTTTTCTCTCATAGCATAATTGAAGGAGCAGGTGGCAGGGCGTTCTCCAGAGCTGCAGGGCTTGTTTTCTGTCATCATCTGAAATAGCTTGAATTTGGTAATTTCTTGTGCACAAAGCATCTGTTTGTTAGCTTTCTTTTGAAGAAAATGAAAATAATTTCCTAGCAAGATGGAGGACAGAAAGGAGAGGCTGGAGAGGTCTAGATGCCTGTTAAGATTATTATTCCAAGGCTTCTTGGAGTTTGTTGTACTGCTAATAATTTTAACGTACTTAGAGTTAGAGGCAGGCTTCTTTTAGATAATTTGGGATACAAACAAATACATATGTGCTTGTCTATTGGCTATGTTATTCCCCATGGCCATAAAAATGTTGGGTAGATTGGGAAGAATAAGGCTTGGTTCTTCTGTTTCTTGTTGTTATTCATTGCTGTGCTATAAAGTTTACCAGCTGCAATAAAAAAGGAGTCCAATGACTTGCTGCAATCCCCTAAAGCCAGTTTGGCCTGGTTGTGCATTTATGCCTGCTGGATAAAGCTGAAAGTTAAGTGTGTAAGAGTGCCTTGTTATTCTTTGTTTGCTTTCCACCTGTTATTGGCTTTTGTAGATCTGTTAAATTCTTTAGGCAAGTATCACTGTTCACACACTATGAAGTTGTTGCAGTATTTTAGTGTGGTAGGGGAAGGTCGCTGTGTGCCTCAGGAATCTCAGCTGTTGGCAGAGGAGATACATTGAATCAAACCAGCCCAAATAGTGGCAGTAACATCAGCAACAAAAGCAGAAAGTCCAAGCTGTGTTTAAGTGGTGAATGTTTCACTTTAGAGCCTGGATTTTTCAGGGAATGGACCATGGTGACTTTAGTTTACCTTGGGGTGGCGGAGCACGAACTTCCGTGGCACAAGATGTACTTTATATCACACTGCTGCCTCAGTGGGTGAAGGCTGAGTGTGCCCATGGTCACTCAATCTCCCCAGCTCTTTGCTTTTTGTTTTTAATCCACATGTCTGTATTGGCACACGGTCTTGGAAATGCAGTGATTAGGTAACTGCATGCAGATGCAGAGAGTACAATTTTATTATTTGCTACAGCAAACAGGAATAAAAGGTTTAAGTAGTAAAAGGGGCTGTAGTGATGTGATCTCCCCTGCAGAGTCATTCTGGGAATGCAGTTGGTATCACAGAATCACACATAGGATTACAGAATCGCGGTTGAGGGGTTGGAAGGAATCTCAAGAGATCATCGAGTCCAACTCCTCTGCCAGAGCAGGTTCCCTGCAATGGGTCACACAGGTAGGTGTCCAGTCAGGTCTTGAATATCTCCATAGGAGACCCCATAACCTCTCTGGGCAACCTGTTCCGATGCTCTGTCACCCTTTCTGCAAAGATTTTCTCCACATGTTAGTACAGAACTTCCTTGGTTCAAGTTTTTAGGCCATTACTTGTCTCATCGCTATGCACCACAGACAGGAGCCTGGCCTCATCCATTTGCCTCCCACCTCCCTTTAGGTATTTATAAACATTAATTAATTCCCCCTTTAGTTTTCTTTTTCCCCAGGCTGAACAGTCCCATGTTTCTCAGGCTTTCCTCCAGGTCCTTCATCACCTTTGTGGCTCTTCGCTGAACAGTTATATTGTTGTAAGTTCTTCTGTGAACTTAATTCCAAGTGTTCAGCCATATCACTGGCCACTTCAAGCATAATTCAGATAAGGTGACCTTATTTAAGGCATGTTTCTGTTATGTTAAAAATGAGATTATTCTCTTTTTTTTTTCTTTCACATCGTCTTAAATTATTTTATGTCCTCAATAGCATTATGAGAGTGCCTTGCAGTCATTACTTGTTCAATCCATAGCACTGTTTCATGGGGGACTGGTATGCATAATTCCTCTCCACTCTGATTTACAACTAGGAAGAGATACAGGCTTTTGAAAATTTCATTAAGCTTAAATTTGTTCCGTTTTCCCAGGTTCCCTCAATTTTAATTATTATAATTGTTTAACATGTTGTCTTCATGATGAGAAATTGGAAATCTTTCTCTGAAGAGACTAACAAGCAATGGAAGCCCCTGGGTGTTTTGCCTCTTAGGCCCAAGATTTAGAACTCAAAATAGT